TTAAACCGTCGGTCCTGGTCCTACAGGATACTATTCCCCAATCCCACCACTACTTTTGCAATAGTCGTTAAAACCCACAAACCCACTAGAATAGTATGTAACCTTTACTTTGCTATGGATATTCACGTATTTTTAAAAATTATTATGTTTGTAAAGATTTGCACAAAGTATCTGCGTAATTATATATTTATTGTTTGTAACTTCGAAGTGATGAGTCCCCTACGACACAGGCTTGCCCCCATGTGGGGATTATGGATTATAATAAAGAATTTAAAAAAAATTAATATATTGGGGTCATTCTTGTTTTAGAGTTCCGTACTTAAAGAGATGTTTATCGTGAGGTAACGTACCTACGTCTTTGTTGCCGTAAAAACAAACACTAGCAGCAAATTGAATTACCAATATGGCTCCGATATTTAAAAAATACATTGTTTTTTAGATTGTGAAAAGTAAACGTTTCGCTGTGCCTCGTCTGATGTTAAGTTACAACCTAAGTTGTCACAAGTTTATGTTAAAGGTACATTTTAACTCGATGTCAATATATGGTCTCACTAAGTAAATGGAAGGTACCCTTCGCACGCTAACCATTTTTTTTTATTTCAGATTTAAATAATGTTTCGCAGCTTAGCTAGGGTTTTAAAGAGTTTTCTATTTCGCTTTTTGCCGATTCTTTCTGTCATTGTCTTAATCCATTGTTTCGTTATAATGTTGCAAGTCCATTGTCTAGAACTGATGTTACGAAATATTCACTTTTCTTATAAGTGTTTCTCCATTTAATGCTTATCTTTTTATTTCTTCATGTCGATATTGTGATGATTTCAACTAATATTAATGTAATCGATATACGTACCTACCTTATTTCATCGCAGCTAAGAGTAAAATTGTAAACTCTATTGATCAAGTACTAGTGATGCGCCGAGCTTTTGCCGAGTAACGAGTACCTAGTTTGACTCGGCACATTTTTTTTTCATTCGAGTACTCGGCCGATTAACTCGGTTCAATCAAATCCCCATTTCGCTAGCGTAAACAAGTACCAATAGGTTCGCGCCGGACAAGACATAGGCTCGTAACTTTGTCTCGTTATTACTCATTTATTAGCATAGCTTATTATATAATGAGTTTTCAGATTTTCTAAATTACTTATAAATAGTTTTGGATTAACACTGCTGTTTTGATTATATATACCTAAAAATATAAATATATAGTTTTTTTTAAACAAAGTATACTCGTTATAAAATAACCGAGGTATTCGGTTGAGTACAAGTATCAAAAAATCCGCCGACTACGCTGAGTACTGAGTATCACCCGAGTACTCGGCCCGACTCTATCAAATACCTATCGTATAAAGAACGCGTTATGGGTTAATAAGAAGTGAGAAAATAAGTTAGTTAACACTTTTTGTGACACAGAATGACTGATGTGTGATGACCTCAAGCATATAATACCTAAACGAGATACGATATCGACCTATTTTGGCGTTTGACATTAGGAAATCTAAAGATTACAAAAACGCTTACACATAATGCTTTTTATTCCATGGACAGTGTTTTGTTACCCCACAGAAATTACGATATTCCTCTCAACCTTTTCATGTCCAGATTTTCCAATCGAAGTTTTAGTTCGAAAGAAAATTATTTTGAAATTTTTATTAACTATACTAATGGTAGCTGTATAATAGATTATAAATTCTTTTTGAACTTTATACATTTGCTATTTCAACGAACCACAGACCATAGTCGGATTGCTGACTCTATGTAATTGAAGAATAATGTATGCAATAATTTTGGTAAACTATATCATCTGTATCAGCGTTGCTACACATTTGACACCGTCTATTGTTTTCGCTCCCTCTATGGGTTTTGCACATTTGTTACTGATAATTTTCAATTATTAATATTAAATTGATCACACTTCTGTGACATTCCCGACTATTAACCAATCTGACGAATTTTTATTTTAGTTTAACCAAATTATTTATTAATTTATTTGCCTATAGCGTTGTAAGTAGGTGTAAAGTGAAAATCAAAAGAGAGGTTTCTATGTAAGGAATTTTAAGGGTGTAGATATTTAAATCATTATAACATTTATATGTTGACATAATTAGGAGTAAAAATAACATTGAGGGCAAATAGTTCATATTAAAATTAAAACATAACGGGGCTAGAATCTATAAACTATACCTAATAAGGCTATTCGGTACAGTTTTTAGGTTTTTTCCCCCCCCCCCTTTTTCCCCCCCCCCCCCCCGTGCAGCCCGTTTCACAATAAAAAAATAATTGTTAAAATTAACTTAAAACGGCGTTAAATGTTAAAAAATGTATGTATTATGTTTTATAAACACTACATCTACAATACAAGTTATTTCGTTAGTAACAGATGTTAGGACCAAAACAGTTAACATATACACCTGCTAGATGAAATGACAACCGGCAGGTGTTATCAAATAATACAGGAATATATTATCTACAATTATATTTTTTAATTAATGATCTTAGCAGGCAATAGAACAGGTATGCTTCTAGAACAATTACGTGTATCCATAGATAATATAGTCTATACAACTCTGTTTCAGTATTGTCTGTACTTAGTGGAAGGACTGGTATTTAAAATATAATAACTAAAATATATCAAATGTCAAATAATATATCCGTTAATATAACCGTTATAATTAACCTTATTCCAAAAAAAAAAGATTTTTTTTTCATAAGTACCTACATAAGTGTTTATATAAAATAAAATACTTTTTTTAGAAGATATTACACAAAGCTTCTTCAAAGCTTGAAAAATAAGAGACGTTTCTGTAGACCTAAGCCACTGAAACTCTACTATTTACGATAGAAAATGATTGTAAACATATAACTACTCACCTTTTCGGCTTCCAGCGTTTAATCAAAAGGCCAAACATCTTATTCAGCCTGTAAGGTTTTAACTGACGATCTCACTATACACTTATTCAAAATACACTAGAATTCTAGCACTATATCCACTCACAATATTTAAGAAAATATAATAAGCACAATAAACAAAACAAAGCGCGATTATCGATCGATATGTAAAGATAAACAAAACACATGCAATCCTTATCAAGCGCGGGAAGCGACTAAATATTCTGTGTGAACGCAGGTTGACAGTTGCACAACATGTTTACCAGATAGGCCGATCAGATGATGTTTACTATATTATCAACTGCCTAATCCAAGTAGTTTGAGCATTATTTTGACAACCTTCTTCGAGGTAAATTGAACTTGCTGCTCTGTCTCTCTTACCGGCAATACTTGTATGAAAATTCATATCTTTCTTGTTTAGTTGCTAAATAAATTAGTACCCATAGAAAGTTATAGATTTTGGGTAATTTAAAAATGGAACATTGACTACTCCGCAAATGGCGAACAAAGAGGTAACTTTTCAAAGGCTTCATTAAAATTTCGAAATTAATACTTTGGCGCGTAAAAACTATTGTTATTAGACAAATCTAATTTCCGCGCATTATTTCTGAAAAGTATGTACTTTACATGCCTTGACCGCAACTAGACATTGATTGACTTATTAGATTTTTTTATTTATTGTATTGATTGTATGACTCGGTTTCGCCTCGGTCCACATTCACATGTTGTCACCAATGTTGTAATGTACCATGTTTAGTATATACTGAAGATATTCTACAGACTTAAGAGTTTTCCAGCGTCCTTGCAACGAGTCGTGGATTTAATTCATAAATGTAATATTTAGAAAAACAAATAATTGTCGGGAAGATGTGTATAAAATATTGTTGTCAACATTAAATATAGTGGGAGTAATATCGAAATTCAACTGCAGATCTGTGAAGTGTAAATTCACGGTACATTTTCGTGGATTCGACATTTCGAAATCTGAAATAGGTCTTGTTGTCAGCGCATCTTGTTTACATGTTATTTGGTTAATTTACCTTCTTTGAAATGAACTCCATGCATATCAATCCTTCTCTGTGATAAAAACAGTAAAGCCGAGTCAGTTAAGTGATTGTTACATTTAAATAAAACCTCTTACAGTACTCGAAACGTTTATTTAAACAGTTAAACAAAACAATAATTTAATAATCCGAACTGACTTCGGACTTACCGCAGTTTGAACACGAACATTTAGAAGTGGTTGACTCTGGTAGGAAACGCCTGAAAGTATTAAAAAAAAAATGAAATACCAATAATACATTAGTTGTTAGTTAACTAATATATTATTGGTAGCAGCGGCCTTGGTCACGGGGGGGGGAGTTGGGACAATTAATTAAAAATAAGTTTCAATAAAACACTTTAACGGTTTAAAACGCGATATATTAGTAAAACTTATTTAAAAAAGGTTATTAACTTCGGCCCAACGTTTCGGATGCTTTGCAGCAGCCGTGGTCACGGGGAGACCCTTCCCGTCAAATAAGTTTGACTAATATATCGCGTTTTAAACCGTTAAAGTGTTTTATTTAAATGTGTACTACTCACGTAAAATATAGACAGTATTTAAAAATAAGTTTACCAGTATAATGTTTAAGAACACTTTTGAACGGTTTACAACGTGGTATTAACAAATCCTTGCTTTATATACGAGGGGCATAGGGCGGACTCATATCTGTGTCCACTTCATTCATTCACAGTGTCAAAGTAGTGCTTGAGGACTTAACACTGCTCACATGTGCTTGAGTATTTTTATTCTTGTTGGTAAACAAAACCTACACTGACGGTTGTAAGGAACCATTATTTTCCTTAGTGAAACATCGATTTATATGACGCCAGCATGTAATGTTGTATCTGTAGTTAACACGCGTGATGGGTACAGATTTATAATAATATTAACGGTTGAAATTGTGTATATATTAGTTATAAGGTAACTTTGTTATGTTACAAACACATCCGACATCCGAGTGTCAGGTTCTAGTTAGTAATTTCTGAATATATTTCGCGTTCTAACCGTTTTAAAAATGTTGAATTTAATGTTAATAATTATAAATATTTTTTTTTATTAAATAACAAGTTTTATAACAACGTAGGTACGCACCCACGACTATCTCTCTTTAAGGGACGCCTCTTAGCCCTTTTTTTCACGGGTTTTTGCTCATCTCTACCATCAGGTTCCCCCACAGTCTCACGGCTCCCTTTCTTTTTAGAGTTCTCTTCAACTTTTCGTTTACGCCTGTCTTTGTATACCTCACATGAGTCCTTAGGGACCACCTTCCAGGTTCTTTTCACGTATTTCGCGTGACTTTTCTGAAACAAATATTCTATAATAGAGCTGGGCGAAACATTGGGTTGAATGAAGATTTCTGACGTAAATTATTCATTATTTTAATCAATAAGATTTATGATCTGAACATGGAAATTAAGTAAATTAGCAAAATACTAGTAGTTATAGATAGATGGAATTAATAATACACGTTTCAACCCGTTAATACCTGCGGTTGGGCTAATAGGAAAGGTTTAAGAATTTAGACTATATTGTTAGAATTAGTGTTCGCGTTAATGAATTGCAGAGGTGATGCTGAATTTTTTTAATGATTAAGGAAGTCAGACACGCAAGGGTTCATTTGATAAGAGTTGAAATTCCCCATCTATATAACATCTACACAAGATACGATCATAGTTGTTGTTGTGAATCGCACAAAGGGTCGCTATTTAGTAGGAGGATGCTGTACTTGCACACTCGGCTAGATTCAAAAATCAGATTCGAACCCTGGACTGCAGTCCAAAGTATTTACCAGTACAATATAGATAGTAGGTAGTCGTATTATATTATATGATCAATAGATAGGCAAATATAGCTAGAGCTAGAGGCATAGACATGTATTGTTTTTCAACATGTACTCACATGATCGCGAATAATATTATTAAAGCTTTCTATGTCCGAAGCTTCTATACTGTTCTTTCCATTACGGATATACAAGAAGCGACTACAATGCGATTTCGAATGTAATTTGCTCCTCTTCGTTGTCTTTCTTTTGTGTCTGTTCCCTTTTTCTCTGCGCGGGCGCATTTTAATATTTAATTTGAATTTATAAAAATTATATGCCGAAAATTATGTTGTGGTCATTTTTAACGTGTACATATATAACATTTCTGTCAATAGTTGACAGTTGATAGTTTGTTCAATAAAATAGTTTACATAGTAATTATTCTCAAGTGTATACAAATATTTTTTTCATCAAATAGTTGACATTTTGTATAATTATCTGGTAAGATTCCTCACCTCTAGAGGTACACGACCGTAAAAAAGATCTAAAGTACACTTGTATCAACGATTTTCTTTTGTGTACAAAACATTTCTATAATTTGACACCGTTTCTGGTACATAAACAGCTGTATAGACAAAAATTACGTAACGACATAGTCCTATAGAATGCATTGTAGGTGTTTATTAACTTCCATAGCGATCGTGTATACAATATTCCATATGTAAATGAAACAATATAACTAACAATCATTTAAAATAAATAACAATACAGAAATGAAACGCATAAAAGCACGATAGGATAAAAAGTGCTACGGGCCTCCTTTTTGCTTAGTACAGTTTTTTCAGGAAAATCCAAATAATTTTAAAAACGTTGAATATGTAAACCATGTTATTTTTATTTTGTTAGTATAATAAATACTAGAATTGTTTTACTTTTCAGGAATGTTTAATATGTAATCTCATCCTTCATTATAAATAAGTACGCATCGGTGGTTCAGTGGTAGAATGCTCGCCTGCCACGCGGGCGGCCCGGGTTCGATTCCCGGCCGATGCAACTTTTTTTATAAATTTCTAAAATAATACTTATTTTCAATTTAATTAAATTTATTGATATTATTTTATGTTAAATATCGTACCCTTATTAATTAGTTGACAGTGCTAAGTTTCAATTTTATATTTTTGCCTCTAAGCATAAAACACAGTGACCCTTGACCACGGCTGTTGCAAAGCATCCGAAACGTTGGGCCGTAGTTTAAATAATTTTGAAATAAGTTTAACTAATATATATCGCGTTTTAAACCGTTTAAGTAATTAATTTAAAAACATAAAACATTACTGACAAAAGCGTTTTTATTAATGATTCTTGATAACTATCCCAGTAAAATAATGTATCTTATTAGCTTTTAGTATGTCTTACGCCACTTGCGTCGACAAACATTTTCATATAATATTTATACTTTGTGGTTAACGCTATGCTACAGTGCCTGTTAAAGAAAGCGTGACGTTTCTCATATCACTACACGCTCTGCTTAGCTGTGCCACACTATGCATACACTATGCAATATGCATTATGCATTTTAGTTTTCTTATTTACATTAGATAATATGTACTCCAAAGTATCATAAAATGGACTCAATGGAAATATTGTGTGAGAAAATCCGTTTCCCCCTCGCGGGGCATGGGGCGAACACATTTCTGTGTCCGTTTCATTTAGACGTTCTTTAACAGGCAATTGATCAGACTTCTGTGCCCTGCCTGACCGAAACAATTTTTTGTCTCCCTGGGATTCGAACCCCGGACCTCTCGCGTTTAATGCAATACTAAACAATGCTTAACTATTTGGCTACAGAGGCGGTCGAATGGAAATATTAGAATAATAAATGTGCAGCAATACTGTTCAAAGGGCGACGCTGCATCTTATTAAGTTATTCGGGGATATTTCACCTTTCTACCAGTGAGCCCTATGCTTCTGTTCTCCTTTATCTTCTTATAATAGAGAAGAAAATATCCACATAACATCTAAGCAAGACGCGGAGGCGATAATTTGAGCTTTGGATGTCCGAAAATTTTCATCTGACTGAAACTGGTCATTAACGTGACTCTGACTGAATTTTTTATATTCCTACCGTACATTTAAAATCCAGATTTCAGAGAAAGTCCAACTTGTTTTAGTAACATTAATAGCCATACATTTCTACAATGACACCAACGTACTCGTCCTCCGCAATTAAAGAATAAATTCACTTACCTACGCTATGGTAATTACGTCACGTTTTCATTTTTATATAGTAAATCCAAGTAACTCAAAGTATAATTTTTTTTACATTAAAACATGTATGTTATTCGGGGAGCACGAATCGACGACCAACGGCGTGTAGTGCTGATGCTCTACAAGTTGAGCCACTGTTGAAACTGCGGTTGACCGTGCCATATAATCTATAAAAAAAAAGTCGATAAAGCAGGTCGATTACGCTGGTCGATTAAAACATTTTGGGTAAAATAATTGCCAGATAAATAAAAGAAACAATGCAGCACACCTTATCCTATTAAATTGACTTCATGATTTATCAGAATCTTGAATCGATATCAATAATATACTGATCCGTTATTAAAATAAATACGTCCATTCGTTGCATTATACTGTCAATTAAATTGTATATCAAAACTTGGAGATTATCGGCTTATAGATCTTATCACAATGACAGTTGTATACCATTTTATTGCTCCAGATTTCTTAGGAGAGCCAGGGTAAAGAATTTCTGCACTTTCTCTTGTGTTTTAGGGTTCTGTGCGCAAATGGTGAATACGAGACCCCACGACGAAGTCTCTCTGTCTGTATATTGTTTGTCACCAGATTCTATATCAGTATTTCTGATTTACGCAATTTTAGCCTATTTTGCTCTTAATCACTTCCAAGTAAGCAAAAAAAAACTCAAGTGTATATTTTCTTTATATTTATTATTATTAAAAAAATATATTCAATGTGACATTTATTTAAGATTCATTAATTTAGTAAATGCTACGGAACCGCTGCGTAAGCGTGCAATTCTACGTGATCGGTCGTTGTTTTTAATAAAATGTATGAACCAAAGATGCTTTTGCTGTATTGTTACGAACTTTTTTTATTAAATTAAGGAGCCACTTCTTAAGAATTATCATTTATTAATCTGCATGGTAAATATAAAAAATAATAATTTATAGGTATAACCCGCAAATTACATTAAAAAATTTACATTCTATAAATTTAAGTTTTTTATTTATTTAACTGAATTATTTATATATTTGTTTTATATAACATAGTAAGTATAATAATAGAATGTTTTTAAATATAGTGAGAAGAACAGAAATATCAATCAATCCGGTAACTGAACTTCACTGACATAATCCGTTCCTCTTGTTCTTAATCTTCTGGTTGTTGTAGGAACAGTAACTGGATTTTCTGTTGTAGTTTTACTTTCTGTTTTTACTGTACTTTGTGGCGTTACTGTACTTTCTGTTTTTAGTATACTGTCTGTTGAAACTGTAATTTTTGGTGTTGCTGTACTTTCTTTGGCTACTGTACTGTCTGTTGCAACTGTCCTCTCTGTAGCAACTGCATTTCTGTTGCAACTGTAGTTTCTGTTGCAACTGTACTTTCTGTCACAACTGTACTCTCTGTTGTGACAGTGCTTTCTGTTGTTAGTGTTGTTTCTGTTGGTTTTATGCGTTCATTTCTTAATGTGGTTTCCGGTATTCCAAGACTTTCAGTTGTCGTTTTACCCTCTTCGCTATTTTTATTTGGTGGCAATACTGAAGTATCTTCAAATGTCTCAGTTAATTTCAATCGTTTATTTATATTTGTACCTGCTTCGAAATAGTTAGACAACACTGTTTTTATATCTTTTACCTCATCTTCTGTTAGCTTAGTTAATTCGTCTTGCCACCTAGTACAAGTATCTATACAGGTTTGTTTTTCTTTAAATATATTGGGCTCTGCGCAATCTCCCCAGACTAATGGCAGACATTCTTGTTTTTCAGAGTTGAATGTGTAAACTATATTCTGAGATCCATCGTTACATGTGTTTTTAGTTACAGTTTTCGAACACTGATCTGAAACATATAATTTAATGAGTATTTGGATTCTCTGATTGTAGAGCGATAGCAGAGTTTAGTATTGAAGCCACATTAATAATTAATCAATGAAAGACATTATGTTTCATTTAACAAGGAAACAAAGAAATAGGACACATCAAAAACATATTATAATATGGGAGTAAAGAAGAAAAAATAAAGAATTAAATTAATACTTAATCGTTTCATAGGCCTACATAGTTTACAAGAAAAGGAAGACACACAATGATCGTTTCAGAACATCGAGCAACCAGTTACAAAGTAAATACCTGAACCTTCATAACTGATAGGAGTAGTTATATCTGGTGTAATAAAATTGAAAATGCAAAAATGTGAACACAAGTATTCGTTGTCGAATTTGTTGTTTGTTGGACATCCTCGCCATATTTCCAGTTCACATCTAGAACCGGGCTTGTAATAGGAAAAAACAGGTGTGGGAGGTCCTTCGCAGTCGCTTTTGTTAAGATTTTGAAGACAGTAGTCTGGCGGTACTGTGAAAATTTGGAATGAAGATAGTTTTAAGCTTGGCTTTATTTTAATTTTTTCTATTCGATATTTGAAGCCCTTCTTATCTAAACCAATAATTCACTATATAAGAAAATGAACTAGGTCGACAGAGTCAATTAATTTGACATCAAGAACGTACTCGGGACTATGGCTGTTAGAAACCATCTCAAACCTGACCGTAGTGGAAAAATAAGCTTCTTACATTTTTCACCGTTAAACAATAAAAGTGTATTATTACAATGTACACTACTTGCGTCGACTAGAGACAAACTTTAAGTCACTATTAATCACTGAAAATGTGTACATGTGTCTATGAAATTTTCAGCATAAGTTTGCTTCATGTTAAGGCAAGGAGTTTTATGAAAAGAAAACATGAAAATATAAAAGAGCATACCCGCATTTACATAGGCCACGTGATATAAAATAATATTTTGAAGAAAATTGCTTAGTTCAAAGAACATTATGAAAAGTCGTCAGCTCATTTTCTGCAAGTTTGAATTCACTCAGTAAAGTCAATTACCGTAATCTTTATAGCTAATTTGAATTTATTGATCGTTAATACTGCCTGAATATTGTAATTGAACATAAAAGACTGTGTACTTATTTATTATAGTCACATCAGGGAATAGACATCGTACTGAGAGAATCGAGTTGCTTTTCAAGAGCTAAGCACCAACCTTTAGTAATGAGGCGGACACAAAAACATTCTTAAGGGTCTCAGCACACATATGGGATCGGAAAGGGATCGTAACCGTAACGCCTTTCGCCTTGCTGTCAAACAGGCGTCAACCTACCGTACGCACGTAACGAAAGCGTATCAGCAGCGCCTGTACGTCAACTCGGCTACGGCTAGGCGACACCGCGCTTACGCCTCGTCGCCCGAAAGATATTGGGTACACAATATGAATAAAGCAAGGAGGACGCAAGCGCGGGGACGGAGAGACGTAAGCGCGGGGACGATGAGCCGTAAGCGCGGGAATTGCAAGTTCGGAGCCTGTTCCGAGGCGAGGCGATTACGTTATGATTCCGATTAGTGTGCGTTGCAGTAGGGAGTTTAATACAAACCATTCTGAACGGCTCGAGGCGTTACGGTTACGATCCCTTTCCGATCCCATATGTGTGCTGAGACCTTAATACTCTAATTAGGGACCGTTCAAGTATTACGTAAGCACTTAAGTAGGGCGAGGAGGTCTTTGTTTTGCTTATTTTTGATGACATGGGGGGTAGGGGGAGTCCAGATGATGATTACGTCATCGATATTTATTTACTTTCTGAATCAACTCACTTTCTTCTTTTAAAAATTATACTTATAATATAAAAAATAACATTTTAATTGAAAAATGTTTACGTAAGCACGGGGGAGGGGGTAAAAGCTTTGCTTACTTTTGCTGACAAGGGGGGATGGGGGGGGGTAAATAATTTCAATAAATCTGCTTACGTAATACTTGAACGGCCCCTTAGGGATAAAAAAAAACAAAAAGCATCTTGCATCGGCCGGGAATCGAACCCGGGCCGCCCGCGTGGCAGGCGAGCATTCTACCACTGAACCACCGATGCTACAGAGTATCATAGTTATATACCGATATTTATGTAGGTACATACATTTTCGGGTACAATTAAATTTACTTAACGAAAAATATTAGGTTTAATGTCTTAAAGCGTTTAATATAAATTATTGAGTTAAGATTTGAAAACTTGAATATTTTGCACATGACACGATACACATTAAATATCGACAATAAATTAAACTCGGTAGCTCAATTGATTAGAGCAACAGCACGGAACAATGACGATGCCGGTTCAAATCCTGGCCGAGTCGTACATTTTCTCAATTTGATTTCGATTTTTGTTCGATCATAGTTTACTAATTATTCATCCGATACAAGATCTTAGTATTTTATAATTTTAGCATATAGCTACTATTGATACCAACACGTGACAGTGATTGTTTGTATCTGCGCCACCTCGTGTGAACTTTATAAAAACAAGATATAGTACGTTTACGCCCTCTAGCTATAAGTAAGCCAAACTAAATGAGAAGTTGAAGCACTTTGTATTTGTAATGCCACTGTGTAAACTAATTTACAGTTTACGCTTGTTTCCTTTTAATCAATCCGATTGTAACTACATGTTGCGTATAAAACATAAATTTCTTTTTATTTATTAGCATTGATTAAAACAAAAAAGCAAAACGATATTTGCATCGGCCGGGAATCGAACCCGGGCCGCCCGCGTGGCAGGCGAGCATTCTACCACTGAACCACCGATGCTCCATTATTTAATGGTAATATTAGGATCAAAATAAGTATATACATTATCGTCTTGTGAGATTTAAGTCTTATAAATAAAATACCCAATTGAATGTCTCAAGTCGTGTATTATAAAGTTATTTACGATTCCTACAAAAAATGCTTTATTGATCATATAAAAGTACTTAAAACATAATCATTCGTCCGGTATGAGATCGTCGGTTTTCTTAACTTTATCCAAAGCACTACTTGCCTTGTAAGTTTTTTGGTATAAAATATAACAAACAAATTTCTTGTAGTAGCGTTGTCTAGTTTAAATTTAAAAGCAGAAAAGACCGTTTGCGCCGTCTAGCGTGTAAGACATTAATTCTAATAATGTATTACAACGCTACCTAGTGTTCACACTTAGAAGTAATAAAGCTATTTAAATGCTCTAGATAAAGTTTAATCCTTGTCGGCTTAAGCTATAGACTTAGTTTTCGCTAGACTTAAAGAAGCCCGTGGCATTGGTGTAGGTGGCACTTCAGGCTCTTTTTCTTCGTGTTTGCGCGTTTTTCTTAAGACCATTACTGCGTTAATCGCTAATAGTATCTGAAAGTACAAATTTCATTGTGATATATAAATTAGATTTTTAGAAGAGATTAAAAGAATTTCGATTGAAATTTTTGTTTTGTGAAAATACGTATTATTGCGTTGAATGAAATTAATGTCAAATGCCGTTACCCCCGTGGGACGAACATATTTCTGGACGGTTTTATTTACATTCAAGTAGTTGATCAGACTATCCTTAAAACAATTTGTAGTTTTCCCAGGATTCGAACCGAAGAACTCTCGCGCTTAACGCAATACTAGGCATCACGTTTAAACCACTTAACTACAAAAGCAGTCTGTTAATGAAATTATGTATTTATTGTTATCCTACCAAAATTATTTAAGCGATTATTCAAGTTTATAAAGACCGAGAGGCCGCAACAAAACCAAAACTTCGTTTCCGTTTAAATTCACCATATTGATACCCTGTTAATATTTCAAGTTTACTAACCTCGAAAATAATTAACAGTATAGTATTAGACAGAACCAGGGTGCACGTGAACTTGAACATCTCCAGTACCGGAGCCCTGCACCCCGATTCATAGAATTCGTGTCTGGCCTTACAAGCCTCCCTCTCCCTTTCCTGGACTAGTTCTGATCGGTGCGGGTCGTACCCTGGACAGCAGGATATCGGTACGTCTGGGGCGAAATACGGAGGCAAGTTGGGCCGTCGATAGTCTTCTGGGCTGTATACACCGCAGCAATTGAGCTAGAGAGAGACATTCAAATTATATAGAAATCGTTATTTATGATAGGGGAACTCCTTATTCCTACCACTCATTTAATATCCAGATTTTCAAACGAAGTCCATGTTTCACAAAAATTATACTTGAAGCAGGAGATAAACTTTTGAGACCACATTACGTAAATAAATATATAAATAGTTGTATTGAGATCAAAAACTATATTCATAATAATATGTAGTGCCTATAGTGTATATAGTTGCTCGCTTATGTTATAAACCACGCGCCTTGTAACGTATGAAGTCGACGTTCATCCTCATTGTTGCTAAGTTTATTCAATAAACTTATTGGAGACATTATTTTACCTAAAAGAAAACTTACATCACTCTGTGTCGTGGCCCAAAGTTTCATGTGCCGTGGGTTATCTTCTCTCGCCAAGCGGAAGGAGTCAACAAGAGACCGGTTCAATAGGATCTCGTCTTCTGTCGTTACCTTCATGCAGACTCCAAGGATCACAGCTTGTATGATTGCCAATATAACCATAATCGCGGCGGTCTGAAAAGTATAAGATAAGAGAGAAAATATTTCCGTTAAATACTGGAGTTATTTTTTTTTTCAATTTCGCCTTTAGTTTTAAAGTGAGCTCAAGAAAAAAAATTTTGAAGATTGAAAATTAAACCAATCTTTTTAGCTGAGGTTGGCACTAAAAGCAATGCTGTAAATTGCTGTAACAGCATGAATTTAGTGGCTTTTTAAACTCCCGAAGTTGAAAACAATTGTTAAATTTAAATAAAACACAAAAAAAACAAGGTCCGGTGTTTTAGGACGCTTTACAGCAGCCCTGGTCACGGAGAAAAAGTCGTAGGGTCGTAGTTAAAATAATTTTCAAGAAATTTAACCAATTTATTTCGCGTTTTAAACCGTTAACAGTGATTCATTTCAATGTGTACTCGCGTAAAACTACAGGCACGATTGTTAAATATTATCGTATATGACTTTACAAGGTGTTTAATGATTACAAAACGGTGCGGCAATATTTTAATAGTGTTGTTAATTACAATGTCAACAAGCCACACATGAGAAGAATAAGTACACTTCCATCTACGTTAGTTATCAAACTAGTAATTAAGTACGTGAAGTCTTAATTTTAAAAAATAAATACTGGAGAATATTTCATTAAAAACCCTATCGAAATATTTTCCAGGCTAGAAAACTTAGCCTCATAGTTGTTACAAACTTAGTTGATAAAAATCTTTACTTTGTCGTATCAAAAATTCAAAATAGTTTATTTCAGTGAATTTTTTTATCGCGTGATAAGGCAATCAACGTTTAATTCAAGTAGTGCTTCAAGGTAACATGTTAATGACCTTGGCTTGTACTGAAATTAATCAGATCTAATGTGCATGTCAAGTGAACAGCCAAGCTACTTAGAATTAGTTGAACCTGTAGGGACTATTTAAATAATATTTTTAACGGTTTAAAACGTGAAATATGTTACTTAACTTCCGAAATAATTATAAGCGGTCACGGCGAGTGAAAGTTTCCGAAATACCAGATCATAGTTTAAATAAATCTAAAAACAACTTAGCTAACATTATTCGCCTTTTAACCCGTTAAAATAGTTACTTTTTTCTGTGTCATGTAAACTACAGGAAAGATTATGTTTTTTACGTATCATCTTGATCATTTCTGAAAATCAAACTGACATATTGATACAAATATTTGTAGTAAGGCGGAAAACCTTATGTGATAATAATGAGAGCGTTAGAGTTATAGTCAGTATGTTTTTCTATTTATAAACATGTACGAAGAATTCGGACCAGGGTATTCCTTATATGGTAAAACCCGCTTAAGAAGATTTCTCAGAACCCCTACCAAAAACGTGTCTTAAGCGGGACTTTTTTGTTCAAAATAGTGTTAATAGTGTGAAATCTCATCTCTTAAGTGTGGGACACGAGAATTTTGGTTCGGCAATTGCTTTATTACATATACAATTTGTTTTTTGCTAACCCTTTTTTATTATTACAAGACAAAGAAAAGACGGTGTATTCTGGTCTTCAGTATCATTTTAATTAGTCATAATATATTGATGGAGTGTCTCCTATTTTAAGTTAATTTGTTTATATTTCTAAATAGAAAGCATATCTTGTGTTTTATTTAGAATTAAATACACTTCTTTGAGAAGAATGTCTTTGATTTAATTAACTATGCCTCGATTGCATATACATTACTATTTATTATAGTACGCATAGGAAATCAAAAAAACTTACCGCGTGAACTGGTTTTTTTTTTCTTCTTAAAAACGGCGACCAGGCCGTAAATAACAGCGGATATGGTTACTGCAGCTGTGACCGCGAGGATTATCATCGCCACCAGACGACTTGACTGTTCTCTGTTGAACAGCTTCGAAGCGATCGCCGACGCTATGGTCACTGCTATCACCACTATTGATTGAATCTAAAAAATATAATAATAAAACACTTTATTGCACAAATAAATAGTAATAGTAGGGAATAGATGCAAACGAACAATTGAAGAATAAAAATCAACAAAATAGAAGAAAGTATGCAATAATAATAAATACTAAATATAAATATATTTGAGGATTTTATCTGTAAAAAAGTTCAACAAAGGGAAGGTGAAAAAAAATCACTTATATCGATAAAGTATACATCCCCCTTATCTTTGCCTATGATATTATGTGTATTAGATCGATTTATTTATTTGATTGTTTTTTTTTTTGCAAGATGATACCATTTTGAGTCTGGCTGAACGAAATATTTATTTTAAATTTTTCATTATTATTTAATATGATAATTGCCTGTTCCCTACATTTGCGATCATTTAGGCTCTGACATTCTTACGAATTAACGTAAATAAAATAACTTTTGTTCCCATTGATACTCTAAGATATTTTAAACAGAACCTCAATGAGATGTTGATAAAAAATAACTTCTAATAGAAACAGTCTTACTATTGTGAGAATTCCAATGATGATAAACAATATCCTGACAAAGGTTCTGCAACATGGTTTCTTCTTTAGTTGTTCTATTTCCTTCGCGTAAAATTTCCCGAAGCCTTGGTGGGACTTCTCCTTGTTTCTGCCTGCCTCCGGCTCATGTTCAGCTATAACAAGAAATATGACAAAATAAACTCATCAAAGGAAGACGCATATAACTCACCACGATATTATCGGTATGAAGACTAGAAAAAATAAATATATTAAAGATTCCTTTAAAAATATTTTTTTGTTATTCTTATTTATTTTTATATATTTATGAAATTTAATCCGTAACCTAGCGAAACAAATGAGTGAGAAAGAAAATAAGTCAGTAAGCTTCTTAAGAAGGTAAAATAGAATTTTTATATTTTTGCTTGTTGTAGTTTTGTCGTAAATTAAACATAGGATACTACCAAAGACGTTACGTTTAAGCAGAAGATTTTCCAAACAACACTATAATAATAAAATACTAAAATATTGCTAAAAGTAGTCTGAAAACAGCTTTATACGCGTATGCGCTTGCGCCTATTGGGTGTCCACAAGCAAAAAGTACTTACTTTGAGCCGATTTCGTGTTCCCCATGACTCTGAAGTTAGACCGATGTGTCATGGACATTGACAAGGCCTGCATTTATAGTCAAAATACAATAGTCATACGCACCGATGCACGAGTAGAAGAACATAATGGACCATCAAACCATTCAGCTGCGGTTACCTCGAGGATTCAGATAACATTTTTATTTTATGATTTTAGTGCTTAATTGTAAAAAAGAAAATTATGTTTTTTTTTTACAGATATTCGGTTATAAAAACTTACGATTAGAGGAAGATAATATTATTGGTATGATATTTGTCAGTACGGTCTTTCGTAACCATTACCTATTATAAAAAATGGAGTATTCCTTTAATCTTACTAATGTCTTACTAACTTAAGAGCTTAAACGTACCACGCTGTTCCAGAGTGGGGGCGTAGCGGAAAGTACCACTACCAAATTAAAATACATTCAGGAGCGATGGGCATTTTTACAAGAACAATTGGTAGGTACTTACCAAATTTATCCCAAGCACTGCTAGCTTTGTATCCCATTTTTAGATTTGCTCTGAGTGAACACTAAACACCACGCGAAAAACATCAAAGCAACATTACACGTTTCAATCAGTCATTGTCAAAATTTAAAAAGGAAATCTTTAAATTCTCAAATACAATAAACATTTATACAATTTTACGTATTACGCGTGAAAATGTGCGGAATAACACTGAAAAACAGATTATGCATTTGCAACTATGTGGTATGTTAGCACATCACTAATAAAGTGTCTTTAAGGCGTGTTCATATTGCGTAAAAAGTATTATTTGTTCATATTCACCATCGAAAAAATATTCTTGTTACGCTTACTTAACAATATGTTAATATGTAATTCGACGATCTACGCCCTATCCGAACGAAACAGTGATTTTTGTTTTCCTAGACATGAACCCAGGACATCTCGTGTGCAACGCTAGCTGGCAAATTGAACCATAGAGCACTAAAATAAATGAATCTACAAAATTAATGTATGCACCAAAGCAAGGATTATACATCAACTTCGGAAAATCTTCATAAACTTTAGAAATATAAACAGCCAGTATTATAAAAATGCAACAATGAAGAATTATAAAAAAAGGTCTCATGTGAAATATTTATGAATATGTAACTCTTATCGTAATTAAAGTTATTTTTTTGTCAAAAAAAACTATATCTCACTGTCTATTCTCTGCCTTTAACGTAGGTGATAATTAAATTTATGTATAATAAAACTACGTATAACGTATGTTATGTTTCCTTGTTTTACTAATATACCTATGAGGAGGTGTGTCATTTAATATACTTCGTGGATAACCAACGTAACTGAATGATTGGTGTAAAATGTTTTCACAACACATTAGGAAGCGAAAAACCCTATTGCGGCCACAACTTCGTGGTATTTCCAAGAAAAATAGCTTAGAAATAACAGGAACTTATAAAAATTCGTACTCCGGATTCCAAGGTCGTTGGTTCAATGATAGAAACATATGGCAATCAACGCATCGTAGGTTTGATTACCGAATCCAGTATGTTTAACTCAAGTTCTATAATATCTGTATATTAAAAGAGTATTTGCGATTCGGTTTCAGTCTCTTATGTTTCAAGCCTGAATGAGTCGATGACATTTATTTAATAGTATTACTTTTAAAACTGTGGTAGTAATATAATTTTTTTATATGTACTTAATGTTTTAATAGTTTACAACTTGTAAACTATTAAAACTAAATTTTTAATTCTAAATAAATATTATTTTTTTCGCCGTGTCTCCCCGTGACCACGGGGACCACTGCTGCAAAGCATCCGAAACGTCGGGCTGAAGATAAAATAATTTTCAAATAAGCTTAACTAATATATATCGCATTTTAAACCGTATAAGTGGTTTATTTAAATGTGTACTACTCGCGTGAACTAAAGACAGTACCATCAGTTTGATACCATCATTTACTATTACAGAAAATCATGTTACATCATTTCCATTTCTAGCAAAATTGTAATACAATCACATTGTAGTTATTGTTTCCTTTACCTAGGCACTTTCCACAGGTCAAAGTTTCGTTACCATGGCAACGGTATGCCAACAAAACGCACAATGGCGACCACCCTTTACACCAAGGACGCGTGAATTTGCAATTAAAAGGATGAATTGCCGATTTATTTCTGATTGTGGGCCGTTCTTAGAATTAATATTAAGAAATCATTAAATTTGTGCATATTGTTATTTTTACGCCTGTACATAAAATCGAGCAAAGACTCTGTCATTTTTCATGACGCGTTCATCCAATTTGAAATTATTACACCGTTTCGTTTTGTAGTATTTTATATGAAACTAATCTAAAAGTTATACCTCTTTCAAAGAGTACTGTTACTATAGAGGTAATGCATTTGATATGAAGGTTCACACTTAAAAACCAATATACTAGTATGGTTCGCGTTTTCCGAATATCCAAACCTGAAGAAGGTCGACAACGCATCTACCACCTACCACCAAGTGAAACCCGTGCTTGTCTATCCTTCTCAATCATAAAAATAACGTAAAAAATGTTTTATAATGGAAGTTATTTTGATTAGTTCGGTTAATAACTACTTATGTGTTTCGTTAGAAATGATTGATCTTATACGAAAAAAACTTACAAAAATATCAAAACCTGGGTGTCGCTGAACTTTTAGATTAGGGATAAGGAATTTATTACTTTGTTGGGCTCTTATTTTTGACCTCAGAAGTACAAGTCGTTGACTCTGATTTGTGATTGCTGTTGTTGAGGTGTTGTTGCCATAGCGATTTGTCGTATCCTTTAGGAAATGTTGTACATATATAATATAGATAGAATATTAGGAAATGTTGTATATATAATAGGAACTGTTAAAAAAAACTCTTCGTCTTTTCTTTTTAAACAATAGCACCTAATTGAACTAACAGTAATGATGAATCATATTATAAACGCAGCCACTTATGCTTTTTACTCTATCAGTCTGCAATTTAAGATTAAAGTAATTACTTGTTTAATAAGTAATGTCTCTACTTTACGCGAGTACATTTGAATAAAACACTTTCAACGCTTTAAATTAACGCACAAAATATATTAGTTAATGTTATTTATTTTAACTACGGCACGTTTCGGATGCTGTGCAGCAGCCATGGGCAATTCGTTTAGTTTTATACATTTCTTGTAAACCGTCAAAAGTTTTTTATCTAATTACTTGTATAAGTAATGTATGTTGTTCGTATGGAGCTCAAATAATAGCTTTAAGCCGAACATAAAAGCATGACGAGTAAATATTAAACTTTTAATTGAAAACTCCAATTAACGAAATTAAATTGTATGTTTGATATGACTAAGTAACATTGCGATAAAAAAGTGTATTCCCGTTTCCTCTATATGGGACATGGGGCAAAAACATTACTGTGTCTGTTTCACTACTCTATTTTATAAAAAAGTAAATTCGGTCTTTTGTGCCCTGCCCAACCGGAACTATTTATTGTTATTTTGTATTTATTTGTTTATTAAACCAACATTTTATAAATAATATTTCCAACATGAGAATAAGTTACAATAATACTTTTTACATAGCATTTTATGTAACCGGTTTAACCTTGAGCCATGGCGGCGACAGTTGTTAAAATAATATAAGAAATAAATAGTATAACAAAGTCTGTATGTAAAAACTTTATTGTAGATAATTATTACTTATTTCTTAGATTTCTATCAACTTCAGAGGTCATTACATTTAGGGTGTTTTACGTGTTGAACCATGGTTCAACCCCAGAGCCACGCAATCACAGACTATATTATTATGGGCGGTGCATAGAGCCGAAATTCAGCCATAGACCGCCCATAAGTTCGTAGGACGCCACAGAGTGTGAACGCGTCCAAAAGTTGGCGCGCTTTTTACCAGTGACATTAGTTAATATAACCTCTTAAAAATGGACGGTTGCGGGATGAGCTGTATAAAATACCTCCTTGTTGTTTTCAACGCGATATTTATGGTATGTTATTTACATCAATACACACAACCAATTGATTTATATTCACTTATAAATATTTTATTTTTTTATTTGTTAAAATTAATTTGTAAAAATTATGAATTATGTGACAAACCTAGCTAGCCCTAGATCATTTTTAAATAAGTGAATTCTTAATGCGTGTAGATTTTATTCGTAGTTCGCGGTTATTTTTGTCATCTAGCTAGCTGTTTATTCTCGGCTCTTCATAAAATTGTTCCTAATGTGTTTCGTACTAGAAACAAGAGAAAGCAAACAGCATCTCGCCAAATTTTAATTTTATAATTAACACCAGTAATACACACATTTTTATAAATTCCTTATTAATGGACAATGAAAGTACAAATACGTAATAGAAAACATGGGCATTATAGTAGGTATTAAGATCCATTAGCTTCTTCCGTATTCTGGCTGAGGATGTATAGTCCCCAGTTGTTTGTAGCCACCTGGGGAATTAAAAAAAAATGCTCTTTTAAATTTTTAAAAGATTTATTAAAGCTGTATGAGAAAAATATGAATAAAAATACCATTTAAAAATTCACCGCATTTAGGAAATATTAAAATTTTTCAAATTATGAAGTTTTATTACTGTAATTTCGCTTAAGAAGTAAAGTGGAGTTAAAAGGTGCGTCTACGCTTGTTTTCAAAACGTTAAACAGAAGTTGCATTTTAAGTTTATATTGTAAGTGTTTCATAATATTGCTTCTAGTCCCAGTGAAACAATAAATTGTTTCGGTCGGGCGCAGCACAGAAGTCTGATCAAAAACTTACCTGTTAAAAAATCGGATCAGTGAAACCGACCCACTAATGTGTTTATCCCATACCCCATAGGGGTAAACGGTATTTTATTTTATAACTGCATATTTAAGACCTAGAGCGAGGTCATATTATGATCAATATGCTAGTCATCGTAATTTAAAAGGGCATAAAACGGTAAACCTGTAGACCTTACCTTAATTTGAAATTACTTTTAAATAAACTTAAATATTATATTTATACAGTATCAGATTTGAACTATATAAAAGACTATGTTAGGTTTTAATCTGAGCTGGCCAAGCTAGGAATTTATTAATTAATTAAGTTCTTTAATTAAGACTTATCTTATTGCTCAACCTGTAGCTTTATTAGCTTGTATGTACTATGTACCTCCACAAATATCTAAGATAAAATAAGCATTTAGATTAAAAATCAAAAATTTCGACTCGGGCAGGACTTGAACCTGTATCGTCAGCGTTCCGTGCTGTTGCTTTACCAATTGACCTACCGAGTCCTAACCTCATCGTCGAATTTTTTCAACTTATTGATACATGCACCGTTCGCGAATGTATTTTTTTTTTTCAATTTATTTTCGATTTTTAATCGATATAGCCACCACATGTGTACATGTAAAAAATATTATAGTTTTCAAACAGTCATTTTCATAATAACACATCTTAGTATTTCGCGAACAGTATATTATGACTACTGCGTTGACGAAGTGTCTTAGTCATAGTTATACGCTGTTGACGTCATTAGTCGCGGAAAATATGTTATACGAGAATATGAATAAAGTATTAAATTAGAAGCTCCTCAAGAAAAGAAAACTTCATAAAATGTATTCGTTTTATTAAATTAATTTTATTAAGTTTTTATTAAAAGTTTTATTAAAAGTAATTAAAAACATTATAAATCCAAGATCCGCCCAATTGATGATTACATATTTTTCCTTAACCCCCTCCATGTGGGTATCAAATGAAAGGGCTACACTAGTATAAAACACAATGGTTATGTCAAAAATATTTTTCATTGCGTCTTTTGTAGTTTTCAATGCAAAAAAATAAAACTGTTTAAATAATACCACTTAACGGTTTAAAACGCGATATATTAGTTAAACTTATTTGAAAATGATTTTTAACTTCGGCCCGACGGTTCGGATGCTTTGCAGCAACCGTGGTCACGGGGAGACTCGCATTTTAAACCGTTAAAGTGCTTTGACTCGCGTAAACTATAGAGAGTATTTAAAACTGTTTAACTTACAAGTTTTTTAAGTTTTCTTAAGCATTATGTTAAAGCGACGGGTCCCCGTCGCTTTAACCACAATTTCCGCGTCAATTATATTAGTATTCTAACCATCTTACTTACCATTACATCTTCTTGGTTAAAACTTTATTTTAACACAAATAAGCAAAATACTTAAGATGTCGATTAGGACTTGATGAGATAATCTTATAACTGTCATGCGATATTTATTTTGTATAAATAATATTTCGATTTATTTAAATTTTAAAATCAATACCCCGTTGTTTATTCATACTTTGTAATTTAATAATTCTGTGTTCAGAATTCCTGCGCGGCTTCCCTAAGGGCCTCCGTAAATCCAAAGATTGCGTTTAGAATAATAATTAGTATTTTAATATCCGTTTGATATATTAATCAGCTAGGTGCTTCCGTTTCACCTACTTTTTAGATATTATTTAACAAGAACGAAGAAGAAATTCAGTAATCTGAAGTTAGCAAGAACTAATTTTTCTCGTGTCTCGGACGTAAATGAAAGTTTAAAAATCGAAAATAAATGATATAGTGCCTTCATGTACAATAAAATGTGAAGATATTAAAGTTTACAAAGTACATGAAAGCTTCCACATTAGTTTAAAATAAGTGTCCGTTTTTCTACTGTCAGGTCTCTCCCTCTTCATTTCGTAACGCGTTAAATGTCACTATGTCTTCAATTTCAATAACAAAGAAACAACAAATTTTAATCAGTTCATGTTATCACTTCGGTCAGACGTCCTGAAAACCACACTTCCGTTTTCCCTCTAAATTAAATTTTTACCTTTGACTCTAAAACCTAAATTAAATATAAAAATGATGAAACTATAAAACTTTTTGTATATATTTATATATTTTCGACTATTTTATACATTTACATCGCTGTTCACCTTACAGGTAACTAGAGAGCAATTTAATGATGAAAACATGGTCATTTGCGATTAAATAAATGTCTAACAAGCGTTTACTTTAACAACAATACTTTGACGGCAGTGGACCAATGTGTTTGTATAACACGTTCCCGGCCGTCTTGGAAATTTGAAAATCAAGTTAGGAATAACAAAACGTTAACGAAGTTCGAGATTGATATAGCGACGATGCATGTCATACACTTGGTGTTGTTTGCATTTCATTATCGTTCTTTTGTGAACAGGTTAACTTTTAGCCCTTGATAAAATTAAAAACATATATTACCTAATTCAGTCTTAACTATATCCTCTAGACTAACGATCTATCTGTAATTTGATCAGCCTAAAATAGAGACCAAAAAATGTTACCTGGAGTTACCGGGAAAGAACTTCTATTCTATTCTACTCTCCACTTTTCCGTACTCTATCAAACTGACAAAGAAATAAAATACGTATTAAGTATACGAATAACTTAACTATTAACAAATACTTTATTGGAACCAATGCGTCAAAATATAACCAATTCTAGTTTTTACACAACTTAAAAATCTGTTTTAGACTTTAGTTACCGTGGCCCTTGTTAGTAAAGCCAACACCAAAAAATGGTGACGATGGATTCAAGACCCGCCAGTAGAATCGTTTTTTTTTTAATTCCAAACAACATAAAACTGTGCAATATTTGGAAAAAAAAGTTAAAAAATCTCATTCTATTAAAAAACAATACGCATATATGTCTAATTTTTACTACGTTCTTATGCTTATCACATTAAGAATTCATTAATTTGTCCGAATGATTGATAGTGGAATTCATTATTAAGTATCGCAGTAGAACGGTTGGGTGGTTTTCTACTTCCTCAAAAGGTCATTAGTTAATGGTAAATCGATGACCCGATTGCCTCTTTCGTGTGAAATATGAATATAGATTTTTGTAGCTGTACACAACATAACCAGTTGACATAGATTTTAGACTTATTTTTGTATTGTTTTGAAGTCAAATACCTTTAAGTGACTCGTCTCCGTAACTTAATTGTGTGTTAGAATTCGAATCAGAAATCATTTATTCATGTTGGTATCTAAGTACACTTCACCGTAATAATTAAAAATTAATAACTCTAAATTTACCACCATTTAAAGTTTTGTCTGCCCAATGTCCAAGTTCAAGTCCAAAACTGACCTTTACGGTATAATATAGCTGCCCCCATAAGCTTAAAAGAGACTCAGTCAGCCCAGGTGGTCTGAGATTTATAAATGTGTATTTTATTTTGTTTTTTTAACGGGAAGTTTTACAGCGTATTACAATAGTGGATACGAATAAATACCTATTATTAACATTTAAAATTATACAGGCTGCGATAAAAAAAGATTTTCATTGTTTCCTTTATAAATGACAATGTCTTGGTTATGACATAGTACTGACCACTCTGCCGCAAATTCTGCCAATTAAGCAATTTACCCAGGCGCGTGCTCAACAAGATCTTAAATACTGATTTGAGTGTCAGGGACGCATCCTACCTAAAGTCATTTCAATTCCAACTCCGACGTTACAATTAGTTTCAATGATACTCCTTAAGGTTTCATGACGTTGGTAGAATGACTATGTCTTCTGACTTCATCTATAAATACTATTGATTAAAATCCAGCTATTAAATTTAAAAAAAAAATGTAATTTACATACTTATAGAGGACCATCATGTAAGAAAGCGTAATCAAAGATGATTTGGCTCAAATTGTTAAATTTAAATATGTTCAAAATAATTTAGAAAACTTTAATATTTTTTATATTCATAAACAATTCAAAATTCCGGTTCAATTCCTGCATAAATATTTTCAATATAAATAGATTTTCAATGTATAGAATCATTTTCTCTAAATTGTTTAGTAAACACTGACGTATCGGAATGTTTTTGACAGGCAAACATTCAATGATCTAAGACAGTCACTAAGACAGAGTTCACTTGATATTAGGTGAAATGCCCCCGGACGGCTTTGTCCTCTGAGGACGGTTATTCCTTACCCGGACTACATTTGATATTTCTACCACCCCTTTAGTAATCCAGATTTCCAACATGTTTCAGAAAAAATATAAATTGCTTAGAAAACTGTTGGAGGTGGGTATCGAACCTCCCCCGATCCCTTTACCTACACCATTACACCAAAGAGCCTGTCACATTAATCCGCTTAATGTTGCATCGTGGCAGGACACCCTGTATAATGAATCACGACATGCGCATTCTCAGTAAATAACGAAGCCTACCGGAAGTGAGACACAGTACTCATCACGATTAATTCAAATCACCGCAACAAGGCCATGCTGAAATAAACCATAGAATAAACACTAGGTTTACCTGTGATAACCATCGTTTGCCTAGAGCCGCCACTCATGTACTATTGCGTGCTACGTTCTTTACATAATTAAAAAATTGCCTTTATTGGGTATTCAAGGTAAATTTTTACTATGTTCTTTGACTTTCATATTTCCATGTTTTACGACTACAAACTGCGCCTAGATTTATCGCAACAAACGCGCTGATAAACATTTTAAATAATTTAATTACATATACTGACTGCTTCTGTAGGTAAATAGCTAAATCTTTAGCATTACAAAGCCCGGGAGGTCCTCAGGTTCGAATAGCGGTGCAACGATACATTGTTTCGGTTTTGCAGAGCACAAGAGTCAGTCACAGTCTTGTCAAAAATATGTACGCTTGATGCCTCACAGTGGAAAACGGTATTTCACTATAAATAAAGCTCTGACAATTTTCTTTAATGTTTCTTGAAACAAAAGTACTACATTTTTCTCTTTTATATCGGAAGAAAAGGTTATAAGTAACATATGCAGATTTAAATAAAACACTTTAACGGTTTAAAACGCGCTATATTAGTTAAACGTATTTGAAAATGATTTTTAACTTCGGCCCGATGTTTCAGATGCTTTGCAGCAGCCGTGGTCACGGGGAGACTACAATAAGTTTAACTAATATATCGCGTTTTAAACCATTAAAGTGTTTTATTTAAATGTGTAGGTACTACTCGCATAAACTATAGACCGTATTTAACATATGCGGAGTTTAATATATACTGATTTAAGTGTTGTTTTTTTACTGTTGCCATAATAGCAACTCAATAGCAGTATCAACGCTTACGACAATACAAAAGCTTATTACGTTAACAAAGACGTGGGAGTATTAGTCAATAAAGCTTACGAAAGATACCAAGTGTTCAATTAACACATCATTACTGCTTTTATTACATGCAGTAAGAAAGTAGAAATCAACCTTACGTACCTATTTAATGTCTATGAAGGCATTAAGGCACCTAAAACCTAAGTGTCAATAGTTATTTTTTATGACAGAGGTTGATGGAAGGTGAGACATCCCAGCCATACGACATCTCAACAGGATTTGCTGTCGACCCTTAGATTTGGACATTTATACTAACGTATAACTAACTACTTACTGCTAATCCAGTTGTATCGTATTTGCATTGCGTTTTCAATGCAGAAGGGCAGGTTACCTTTTGAAAGCGCGCAGTGAATGAAGTGCTAACTAAATTTTAATTGACATTTACTAATAAATGAGCTCCGCGAATGTAAATTATAATTACACTAGCTGTACCAGCGACTTCGTCCGCGGCGTTAAATTTTGTTTTTGCTAAACACGTCCTCCTTATTAAATATATATCTGTTTATCACGACGTCGCGTCGTTCGTGCCCCGTTGTTCTTGCAAGTTAATGTTAAGAAATAAACATATACTATCGCGGACATTTTTTTCAGATCATTTAAAGAGGAATTATTCTGTATACATATTTTTGGGTATCTTTTTTGCAGCGCACGCAACGGAAACGCACAAGGTTAGATCGTTTTCCCCGTTTTTTCCACATTTTCCGCTGCTTCTTCACTCCTATTAGTCAGAATGAGATGTTTTATAGACTTCCTCGATAAATGCTCTAACCAACAAAATATTTTTTTTTAGTTCCCACCAGTAGTTCCTGAGATTAGCGCGTTCAAACAAAAAACGAACTCTTCAGGTTTATAGGTATCAAAAATAATTAGACCTTTCAAATAAACAAACTGTTAGTATCTTGATGTTATCATTCTTGTATATATAGTCATATAAGTAACTGTTTATGAAGGAATCACGAAATGATCAAAATGTCGTCATCATGACCTAAATCCTCGTCCACCATCGTTTGATGGCTTGGCCTATATTACACAGCTGTTCGGTAAACAAGAATGAGCTAATCTTTTTTTAATTACCGCATATTTTTATACACGCACGATTTCAATCAGAACTCTTTATACCAACATAAATAGTGTATCCTGTATTTTATTGTTATACAATATATGAGGCTGCTAGAGACAGAGTGGCCTAATAACAAAAGACATGATTTTCAGTAAGGAGGAAAATAAAAATGCGCAATTAATTTAGGCGGAAATGTAGTACTATTATTTGTGTAAGAATTATGTAGATTAACATTTTTTGAATATAGAAATATCAATAAGTCAAGTCATAAAACTGCAGCTAGGCTACTCTGCCTGTAGCCTCATATAATAATTCCCTTTTTTTATTGAGTATTTTTATGTTATTCAAATATGACATAAATATATTAAAAGAATAAACTGAAGAATATGTTTGCAAAGGTAATAAGCACGCGTTAGTCGTGGATTCGATACCTGTCAATATCCTATTGTAGCAATGATTGGCGAATAATCAACAGGTTGTTGTTTCGATCAATCATTGTGATTTTTGATTGTCAAGCCAAAAAAGATCAACAGCGCATCTTAACTAGATCGTAAAGCTAGGGTATTTACCTCCCCACTTGTATTTAACCCCCCACCTTCATTGAAATAAATATTTTATTTATTTTTATTTATAGAAGGTGACATGTGCATATTATATTTAAAGACATTAATTTAAATTCAATTATCATAAGATCATGAAATTAAATTGATGGTTACTATTTAATTTGACGTTTCAGTATTATTCTATTTTTCATAAATAGCTTACATAAAAACCATAGATTTTCGTGTAATAATTGTTTTTTTTTTCAGATATTCGGTATCGTAATAATAGCGGTAGCATGTGTGGACATGGGGATGCTGAAGGGGTTCGCGGGCATGGAGACGAATGGACATGAGACAGATGCAGTTCTGATAGCTGTTGGTGTTCTCATCATCATTGTAGCGGCGTTTGGATGCTTTGGCGCTTGGAAGGAGAGCCCCAAGTTGCTGTATATTGTAAGAATACAACTAATAAATTATTTTATTATTAATAACCCCAGTATATTAGGCATTAATACTAAGCGGCCTAAAATGAATCTACGGGTATACGAAGATACTAACACAAAAGTGTGTCAGTTGAAAAAATTCGACGATGACGTGTAGGTAGCTCTATTGGTAAAAGTCACGGAACGCTGACGACGCCGGCTCAAGTCCCGCCCCAGTCCAAATTTTTTTCAATTTATTTTCATGTGAAAAATATTAAGGATTCAAGATCTACAATATTCTGCTATTCAAGCAATAAGTAAAAGGAATACGTATTCCGTTTTGAATTATCTTCTTTCCTCCTGTCCTACATTGAAATGGTACTTCGAAAGCAAAGAATTACCATGAACGCTGAGTAATGTCTCGCCCACCCAGTGGTATGTCGCAGTTCTATCATTCCCCATGACCTAGATAAGTTGTATGGGTGTAGTTTGAACTATGGGTGTAGCGACAGTGACCTGGTCAGTGCGACTGCATATTAGAATGAGCTTCAATACTATCCAAATACTGTATGTAGTTTACGCGAGTAGTACACATTTAAATAAAACACTTCAACGGTTTAAAACGCCATATATATCAATTGAAATGAATTTAACTACGGCCCGAGGTTTAAATTAATGTGTGTATAATTTCAGTTCGTCGGCTGCTTAATACTGATCATCCTTTTGGAACTGTCCGTGGGCATTGCTGCTGCAGCCCTCCGTCCTCAAATCGAAGGCACCATGAAGACACAGCTGCGTGCTTCTTTCATCAAGAACAAGTCGACACGAGAGGAGGATTCCGTATACAGAGAATTCTGGGACAAGATTCAAAATAACGTGAGTTTCTCCTTGTAAAAAGAAAAATTTATTTGTTGAATAATGATAAATCACTCTATTTACTATTTCAATAGTTATAAAAAATATGATTAAATACTGTCTGTAGTACCTTAGTAGTACACATTTAAATAAAACACTATAACGATTTAAAACGCGAAATGTATTTGTAGCTCATTTTTTTTTATTTTGAATGTCAAGCATCCTCTATCTCTAGTGTCCCTGTGACCACGGCTGCTGCAAAGCATCATGAAACGTCGGTCCGTAGTAAGTCCGTAAAAACGTACGAATAAAAATCGATGACCGAACAGTTTGAAAACCCAAGCTATATTTAAGTTTAACTTTGTTTAATTTAGTCAATCGTTCTCTTTACGTCAACAAATTTGTTTTTTAGCTTGAATGCTGCGGTGTGACCGGACCCGATAACTACGTTGCGTCCGAGCCTCGCCTGAATCCCTCCTACAGCTGCTGTCCACCGGATGACTCTGACCGAGCTGTGGAAATTAAGCGATCTGACTGTATCTCCCTCAACAAGTACTACCAACAGGGCTGCGAGGATAAGGTCCTCAGTACAATCCATAGTGCTGGCTTGTCGGTGATCGTGTGTGGAATCTTGTTCTGCTTTTTGGAGGTGAGTGTCTGAAAATTATTCCAATTTTAAACGCAAAGAGAACATATTTTTGCGACTATTTCTTAACTAACAGTATCCCATTTCAAATGATTGCATGAAATGGGGACACGGACGGGACTCGAACCCAGAAACACAGGTCCGTGCAGCCTCTATCATGTCATTACACTCCATTTATAAATGCATCTCCCGCGCAAACGGTACGCTTATTGGTTCGATTCCCATTTTGTCAACAGACGTTTGAAACGTTTATTGTTAATCGATTTTTTTAAGTTAATTTTCATGTTATATCCTCATAGTGGCTTTATATTGTTTAAAAATCTAGTCTTGTTAAAAAAAAATTAACATTAAACAATTTTCTTTGCAGGTGGTCGGCATAGTGTTAGCTTTGTGGCTGGCTCATTCCATCAAAAACGAAGGAAAAAGTAGAGAAACAGCTTAAATGTATTTCTTAATAGCGCAGCACTCCGTGTAGCTTTAAACGCACTGACTAATTAGCATAATTCTCGTGTACCTTATTAATAATTATTAAATGGTTAACACTAAATATAATTAATAAATACATGTGTTAAAAACCGGATCCGAAGAGCTCGTGAGCATTGGTTTGTACTGCATAAAACAAGCTCAGCACAGATGATCTGTGAACTGTCACTGTCACTGTCAATGTGATAATGGCGTCTTATGTCATTCAGTCTTCGCGCGCTTGCTCTAAGGTCAAGCCTATAGTAACAATTAATACATGTTGACTTTACAGTGTTAAAATTATTTTCAGTTAAAGAATTTGTTACACAACTGATATTCAATTGTTTTCTTGTATAACTATCCGTCTTATTTCAAAGTTTTTATACTTTTATAACTGTAATTATCTATTACATAAGTCTAAGTTTTGTGATTTATAAGATATTGTATACAAATTAAGTAAAATAATAGTGCTTTTAGTAAGGAGTTATGAAGTAAATCTTTAAAAAAATCCCTTCAACAATTAGATTCTCGGCCAAACTAAAAATACATATATCTGAATTTGCTTACTTCATCATGTCAATAAATATATCTTTGATTATTGCTAGTTAGATGTTTACGTATATAGTGCAAAATATCGGGAAAAAAAATTCTTAAGTCAGTTTGTGGCCTGAAATGAGCATTCCCCTTTCATCTAAGATAAGAATCTATAAGACGTGCAAGTCTTAGCATTTTGTATTTAGATGTGTTATTAATAACGAAAAAGTACGTAACAATAAATTACACCCACCGATTATTCATAACGTTTTGCAAAATTCTGTTGCTTATCGGTAAATCGGTAGTTAAAGGCGTTTTTGGACCTAGCCAGTAGTCTATGAAGTGATACTCCAGTTATCTGTGTCTAGAGCATGGGACGGACACATTTCTGTAAATCTTACTCAATTTTATTTACAAACCAGTTGTGAGCTTCAAACTGAATCGATTTATTCTGTTGACATTATAGTTAAACGCAGTGCCTCCCAGTTTGTTTTCCACCATCAAGCCATGCTGATGACCAGTGACGTAAGTACCGTAGAAAAGTGTTCAAACACCACTTTAAGTAGAGAATATATATGAAAAAAATATTTTTATACATGAAGTGACCATTACATTTGATCACGCGTAAATGTAGACTAGAATCATACCGTGTTTTTTTTAGTTTAGATACGTTATAACTAGTCCATGTATTAACCAAAAATATTGTTTAAAACATTTTGTATTTAGTCATATTTGTAAGCATGCACTTAGAAATGCCCTTTTTTAATAATCCCACTTCTGATACACTAGTTGAATGTTTTTAATTAAAGATGGGCCTATGTAATTCTACAAACTTGGAATTAATTTCTTCCATATTGATTATTTATTATAAGTAAAATCTCAATGTTTGTGGTAATCTTTATTAGAGTTAAATTGGTGTAACATAGAGTTTATGAACAATAAATTATATCAGTGTTCCAAATAATTATGTTTATTATTCTTATCAATATTTTGGGTGGTCTACATTTGATCGTCGTAATTGAAAAAAATAGTCTTGCCATCGGCAGTGGATGGCAGCATCAGGAGACATTAAGCGGTACCACAAGTTTCTTATAGATTGGACTCTTCGTTTAGTCGAGAACTTCGTTCAATTACGACGGCCGGACAACACCAAAAATCAAATAGATTTGACGTTAGCGTTACAACAATTCACCTACAATACTAAAAATGAACACATTAATTATTTCTACTGTAAGGTTATTATGTAAACGTTTTTTACGTCAAGTATATTTCTAATTATTGGTCCCGCTCAGCTTGTACAAAAGACCTGAAACTGCCTGAAACACAGTTATGAGACGAAAATCTACATTTATCACAGAATTCAGCTATTTTCTTGTCTTACAGTCTACCTTAAAGAGATCTATTTGACTTTACAGAATATTATGTGTGTGTAAAAATTATTGTGTAAATCTTTAGAGAAATACGTGATGAAACCGTGATATTTAGCCCGACTAATAAATGGTGGCGATGATCTATTAATATTAAATGCTTCATGTGTGAAAATATCAAATTTAACTTTCAAAATGAGCTTGCAACGTTTGTTGAAGCTTTCGACGCTCGCTAGCAACTCCTCTTGCCATGAAAATTGATATAATTATACAGGTTACCTGAAAGACAACGGAAACTATGGTTACTATATTTACCACTCATTTTTATTTTAAAGCTGGCTCAAACCAATTTACTAATACTTGCAGATCTATTTATATAGGAACATAAGCTAGAGGGTTATATCATTAATCTAATAGTGAAACAAGATAAATTTAACTTACCTCAAGAAGGGTAAATATAACACCTGTGCTAATAAAAATATCCCCTTTCAAAGCCTTTTTCCCCCTCACTACTTCGTCGCAACCTCGCATATAATAGGTTCTCTCGGAGAGGCAGGTGGAATGCAACTGACGCCTTGCCCCACCTTGGCGCAAAGAGTGCGCAGGAGAACAGCAGGATACTGGTATCTCCAGTTGTAGGTTTGCGTAATCTTGGGGCCCATCTACACCGCAGCATAGATTCTGCAAATAAGCATTTTCTGCAGTGTATACCTTAATCCGTTAAAGTCATTCGAATGAACGACAAACTCCGTAAAATATCTTAATCAGCGAAACAGTGTTATAATATCAGATATTAAACTATTACGTGAAACTCATTTTGGATAAAGTAATCTATATTTAAATAAAACACTTTAACGGTTTAAAACGCGATATATTTTAGTTAAATTTGTTTGAAAATTATTTTTAACTACGGCACGGGAAGAAAGTTGTTGCAAAGCATTCGAAACGTCGGGACGTAGTTGAAAATAATTTTCAAACAAGTTTAACTAAAATATATCGCGTTTTAAACCGTTAAAGTGTTTTATTTAAATGTGTACTAATCGCGTAAACTATAGACAGTATTTAATCTATATTTCAATATTATCAGTTTTAGTGAAATTACCTCAGACTGCAACTTATCCCAAAAGGCTTGTTCCACACCTTGGTCATCGACAGTGGTGTTGCGATAGAACTGTCCTCGCAATCCATTTCCTCCACCTATCCAAGCGCTCAAAACAGCTCCTCCGACACCCACTAATACTTCTACTGATACCAGAAATATTAAAAAGCAGGCATGCTGCAAAAAAAACTCTTAGGTTAGCTACGCGTAAGAAAGTAAGTGATAAATTGACTTCTTTTCCCGTCTGGCAATTTAGTTAAATCATATATCTTTGGTAGTTTCATCGATAATTTCGTTTATTTACTATTCAAATATTCCTCGATCTGCGTGTATTCTATATGCTTAATTGTTTCTTATAAATATTCAAACCTTCAACTTCATTATCCTCCTATCACAAACCTTACCACATAAAGAATTTTCACGTTCTCCCTCAGTGCACCAATACACCCCAGAATGGCTGTAACTAGTAAAGCGAAGCCTAGCGTCAGTAGAAAAGCTAGGACTGCTCTTGATAAGGCAGATTGTTTTTCTGGTTGTGACTTTTTGTCGCGCATATTGATCACACAAATCGCCATTAGAACGAGGCCGAAGAACTAGAACCACACAATTATCTCTTATAGCATTTACCATTTTGTATTATTCATTAATTCGTCGAGATAAGTTAACTTAAAGTGTTACTTTTGAAACCATTAAAAAACACTTTAACAGTTTAAAACGCGATATATATTGCATGATTTGCAGCAATCCTGGTCACGGGCAGACAAAGGATGCAGAGCATTCGAAACGTCGGGCCGCCGTTACTATAATTTTCAAATAAGTTTGACTAATATATATCACGTATTAAACCGTTAGTGTTTTATTTTGAAACGATATAAGTAATTATAATCTTACTTTTATCTAACAAAGAGACAAAGGCTTTAAGAACAACATACAGAACAAACGAAGAATTGAAAATTATTTAAGATCAGCTCTTGCATGCAATGATATATTAAAATTAAATAATAAAAGTAGAAATAATAATAACAAAGAAGAAAATATATCAGCGAACAAAGCTATGGATAGCAATCAAACGCTTTCATTAATAATTCAAAGTAACGGCCATATATATTGATCGACGACAGATTAACAGTAACTTAATGTAACTTAAATATTATTGAATTTATATTTATTTAGCATAAAGCAATAGAAAATATAGATAATAATGTAAAACATTTCACATAATACTCACAACAAAGATAACGTTAAAGAAAGTCAGGAAAAATTTCATGCACCGAATGCTGCGAGGTTTCATTTTGAACTATGCTTGCGCGGTTTCAACTAAAACCTTTTTTTGTTTGACTAATTTAAAATAATTAAAAGTATGTGTGGTTTAACTGGCGTGACTTGGGTCAATGAGGGTGGTATCGATCTCTGCAATGAACTACCATCGGTGGTCAGTGTAACAACGATGATAAGGGTAGCGGTGACTATTGTCTAATAAAAAAAAGCTTATCTGTCGAAATAGATATTATTCTAATGACAGGTCAGGTGTCACCTGTAATTTAATTTGACTGTCTGGGTTCAATATTGAGATTAATAAATAAAAGACAGTTCCAAGCGTTATTAACTTCTTAGTTAATAACTCTAGTCGTTAGATTTTATATAATATAGCAAGTTGTAAGTTTATCAAGAATACCGTTAAAATTGTAAATAACACAGTTTTATATAGTTTAGCTAGTAACACCTACATTTAGGATTATATGTAACCTCAATTTATTATTTCCGACCGATAGACTCGTTCAGATTCAGGAATGAAAATAACACATATTGTTTACCTTCAAGTGAACTACATTCTTAGTTGTCCCCTTATGTTACAATCGCTTACAGCCCCGCTCAACACAATGATACTACCATTAGGGACGTGGGAATACAGGTGGTTATTTCCCCACACGACAATTCGCTTTTACTCTGTGATTCGCCATTTTATAATTCTTCAAAATTATTCCTAATAATTAATCTCTAAAATTAGTTTAATTTCCCATAATTTAAGCGAGAATATTACATATGTTTAATTGTATCTTTATACTGTTTTGAATCTCGCTTGTTATCCGATGATTAATGTTGTTGAGAAAAAAAATATGTAAACGAATAAAACCTTAAAAACATTAATATTTTTTTACGTTATTGCATATGAAGGCACTATATAATTTAAAAATCGATTTCGATTTATTTTCGAGTTTTAAAGAATAAAACCTTATTCACTGGAATTTCATTTACTTAAAATGTAACAAACTAACATCGCTTGGTGCTAATACTATTAAGTAAAGTTTAATAAATATAAAATGTATTAAATTACAGATATAGTCTTTTGATACCAAGAAGGATACAATTTAAAACTAGGAGGCCCTGTTATTGACAATAGCATGCAATGTACAAGATGTTCATTTCATCTTATTACTTAAGTACATAAATTTTATCCTTAATTTACTATTAATTAGATTTATTAGTTACAAAAGTTAAAATTTTTGTATTATTTATTTACTATTATTTAAGATTTAATTTAATTTAAATGAAACAAATAAGTTAATAATAAATGTCCGACAAAAATCCATTTTAGTATAGAAAACTTAGTGTTATGGTTATGGCGGCGATCATCGTGGATATGGTTACAGATGATGCAGCTGACGTTTCCCATCCATAAACAGGATCACTGAAAAACAATAAAATAAAGCAATGAATTCTTCAGACTTAAGATATCATATAGGGTATGTACCCGTGTATGTACACGGTACTAGGAAAGTTTGCGCCTGCCAATGCTTTCAGTTTTAAAAAGTATTATGTACATAGTAACCGTTGCAGTTAAACTATAAGCCCGATATTCATTTATCTATACTAATAATATAGCTGAAGAATTTCAATATTTGAACGCGCTTATTTCAGAAACTACTAGTTCGAATTAAAAAATATATTTTTGTGTTGCTTAGAGGATTTATAGAGGAAGGTTTTAGTCTATAAAACAAAATTTTAAAGCAAACCAGTAGTTTCTGAGATTAGCGCTTTCAAACCGACAAACTTTTTAGCTTTGTAATATTAGTATAGATGAGGAGGAGGCTTTCACAAACAAATTTTGATTCCCAAAATAACTATACTATGCGGACTATTCTTAGGTCTACTTACAGATTGATGTTTTAGTTGGCTTTTATACTATCGAGGCTTCAATGTTTGTCATCATTGTAAGTAACGTAAGTTTTTTTAACTTACAAATAATTAATAAGCACCGAATAAAAATAGAGAGAGTTTGTTACATGTAGTTCCGTATAAAGTGAATTATTAAAGCAGAGCCTAGAATAATATATATCTATACTAATATATAAAACTGTAGAGTTTGTTAGTTTGTTTGAACGCGCTGATCTCAGAATTTAAAAATCAATTTCACATATACAAGAAAACATAAGAAAGAACGTCAAGATACACAAGAAATATGTATAGAAGAACGATTCTTGTATGATCTAAACCGTACTCTACGCTATGCGACAACGTTTCAAGATACACAAGCACGAAGGGAGGGGCCGCGTCCGACGTCGTGGGGAAATATGTATAGATGACGAAGGTGATTCCTTTTTAAATTGGTCCAAAAAAGATTCTCGCGGACAAGATCGTGGCAAAGCTAGTCTTTAATAATAATAAGTAAGTACATCACGTACATATTTATTATCTGCACAATGACTTCTATAATTTATACATTCTGCGTACTTAATTTAGCCATAATATACCTACTGTTACAAACCGTGTTTTCATTGAAATAATGTAAATCTTTTAATTTGTTTGAGATTATTGTGTAATATTGAGTAATTATCGTGCATACAAGCCTCAGGTCATTTATTATTAGCCATTGTTTGAACACTGTATATATGTGTTGAATATTTATCGTGTTTTTTTCATTGACTATGTGTTTCTAGCTTCTATCTTGTAAGGGTAAAATAAATTCTGAAATATTAGTTTCACAGCTTTATTTTAGTTGACTGCTGTCTTAAAAGAATATGATATGATAATTTACTTTACTTTAATGTTGTTTTTACCTTCATATTTGAAATCTTTTTCTGAATCCCAAAGGGTTTGACCAGCTCTATCGACTCTCTTATTTATACATAAAATATGTAGAAAATATTAAAGTAGCCAGGCCATTGAATGAATATCGTGGTTTAGTCCTACCAATAAATCAAGTAGTATATGTACTTATGTTTATAAAAATTCGTATAGTCATATATTTTCGTTACTCAAGTAAAAGAAGTCGCCTTTTTTTAATTTTATTCGTTTGATATGGGTTTTTATTGGTTTTAAAACTAACATCAATTATTAAACTCTAAACCTACACTAATCCGACCACGCCGCAAGCAGCACGGCCGCCCGCGTTTCCAGTTGTCTTCGAATCGGGATGATCTGTCCTGCCATAGTCGTCGTCGCTCTCGTGCAAGACCACAGCTCTACCAAGAATACTGTGAGGCCCATACAAAGACAGCTTGCTGTCTACGAAGTCAATTCGAGCAACTGCATTCTCGTCGAAGACCACGTTACCAAGGTCACCGACGTGCCGGTTTTCATCGTTAGGGTGGCCATGTTGTTTCTAGGATAGAGAAATTATTTTATCAAACTGTTATCTAAAATGACAAAAATAAATAAACCAGAGACTTACGGGAGCTGTTAACTTTTTTTAAACAAAGTTACTACTTCTCTTTTAGATGAGACTTAAAAAATTTAAACCTCGTATAAGCTTACGAAGACAGTGCAAATAATGAGATTAAGTACTGTCTGTAGTTTACGCGAGTAGTACACATTTAAATAACACTTTAACGGTTTAAAACACAATATAAATTAATTACAGATTTGTAAATTATTTTAACCACGGCCCGACGTCTTAAGACGGTAGGTATTAATTTCCTAACAAAATATAAACGGGATCATGAAGCCAATCCTATTATATAGAATATTCGTCTTATGAGTACTTACCTTCTCAGGGTTAAAGTGAGGTCCTGCAGTGGCACAACCTCCAGAAAGATCACCTTTCTCATGAATGTGGAAGCCATACTGGCCCGCTGGCAAACCAACTATAACACCTTCGACGCGAACCTTGTTAGCATCTAATTGTGTAAACGTTAGGTTTCCGTTGATTTCATTCCTTCTGTATGGTTCTGTGAGGAATGCTACAGCTTTTAGTTCTTTCGGCTGGAAAATGTAATTTATATAAGTAAAGCGAATTTAGTTTTTTGAATTGTTAAGAGGACTTTTTGTAGCAGCCGTTATTACAAAGTTTGTAATGTATGATGCTTAATTTGTTTTAGTTTAATTTGTTGTTAATTTGTTTAGAATTGTAGTAGTAGAGTATTGAAACGTATTTTTCTGTGACAATTCGACTTACCTGTTCTGCTAAAACAACAGACAGCAACGCGCAAACTGCTATTATTAACGCTGACATGTTCACTTTTGATCTGAAACAATACTTTCCTATTATATTAATAATATATTGGTCAGTGCAACACAGTATTGGTTCTTTCATATATATAGATAATATAAATTAAATAAAAAATTGTGGAAAGGTGCAAGGAGTTCGCGACGAAAGAGATTGTAAGCATCATATCTATCATCTCATCATTTAATTCTCAATTATTTTTCTACAATTTCTCCTAAAATGACATTGCGTCAAGTAGCACCAATATTATCACAAGTATTCTCTTATCAACTTATCTTATTTTTCAATAGCGTAAAGTTTGACATCTACATCTTAAACTTGAACGAAACATAATGTTTTATATAATCATTCTCGAACCTAATTCTTAATAAAACAATCAAGGAATTTAAATATATTAATTGAATGACTGAAATATTTTTTCTAGTTTTGTTAAACTAATTTGAAAATGATTTTAACTACGGCCCGTCTTTACTCCATCTTTAGTCTTCCCGTGTCCACGGCTGCTTCCAAGCAAAGCATCCAAAACGTCTGGCCGTAGTTAAAATAATTTTCAAATTAGTGTAACTAATATATGTGATGTTTTAAAGCGTTGAAGTGTTATATTTAAATGTACTGTTACTCGCGCAAACTTCAAACAGCATTGAATGTTTTTTATTCTTCCGTCTTTTATTATCAATATAATGATTGCATCTTGCAGATGTACGTCTCTACATGGTAAGTTATTATCAATATACATATATAACGCAAATTACTATGTAATTCTGACCTTTAAATTATTCTCATCTCATCAGATTAACTAGCTCTCCTTAGTCACCTCACAATACATGTGAAGGTCAATTGAGATTTGAGTAATGTTGTTTATTTAAGTTGCACTTGACGCTCATAATTATAAAAAATCAATTAATTTGTTTTACGAGCTATGAGTATCTTTCTTCTTATTCTAGATTTATTGATAACAAACGACATTTTCTATTTTAATAAATCGATCAATAATGAGACGTGCATCAAACTATATGTAATAGTATAAAAATACTTCATGGTATAAATTATTTTGGTTTATCTATAAATTTATAAAGATATTTTTCATAAAAGATTTTGCACGATTAACCAACGAAAACAAAAAACTATTTTAATTATGACAAATATCTATGTGTACTAATATTTCATGGATATTTATTTCAAAGGATATTGTAACTTGAATAAATAACGAAAAAACACAATTCAAGTTGAATAAAACAAAACACGACTTACCTTTGAGAAACAAAATCTTGAATGCGTCTGTGGCCAACTAGAGCTCAACAATTTTAACACGTAACAAATATAACCAGTTTATATTGAACCGTAAACTTGCTATCTTTAAATTGGGGCTCTATCGCCTATACACAAGGTATCTTTTTGAATATATAAGATTGCTTCTTTGATCACGCTGAGTACTCTTGTTAGTAATCCTATACACTTAATCTAGAATGTGCTTTTGTTATTAAATTGTCGATCTAAATTCACTTTGTTTGTTTATATTTTTGTTTGAGATCTGCGATATTCCTATGTGGTATCACTACTTTTTATATTAGCATACTTGATTTATAAGTGACTAGCCGTGCCCGCGACTTCGTGCGCGTAGAATAGTGATATGGGGTAGAATTTTCAATTATTTAGGCTGTTTATTAATTTATGTAAGGGCGCATTAAAGGAAACCATGTTGTAAGTGCTACTTTGCCGCAACACTCCGACTCTCACTTCACATCACTCCTACTCTAACTCCCACTCTCATTCCTACACTCACTCCCACTTCCAATATTATTCCCAAAAAGCAAAAGAAGAAAGTTTAATTGTTCTGGCATCAAAAACCACGAATATCCATACTTTCATTCCCCTTTTCAACCTCTAACAACCCTTTCTTGACATTAAAAAGTATGTTAACTCCTTACTCAGGCTCTAATATATCTGTTTCGGCGTTAAAGCCGGACAGACAGAGATACTTTCGCATTTATAATATTAGTGTAGATTTAACAGTACAAACAAACCGTGGCTTGTTGATTTATTTTTGTTGGCCGAAACAAATTTTTAATAATATCATGTAATGCTAGAAAATTTCCATTTTATTTTTAATATTCTGAATAGAGTATATATTATTTAAGACTTTTATCGCCTTAAAAGGCGATTATATTGTATGCGTTTTTAGCTTTGTAGTTACTGAACTGACTTTGTTAAGACTGGATCACGCTTGACCTTTATTTTTTATTGTAGGAGATTAATTATCCGGGGATAAACCTATGGCAGTTTATCATGATCTTGGTATCATAATAAGGAAAAGTAAAACATCGGCAGCTTGTTTAAGCTACAAACAGGTTTACATTGCAAAATGTGTTGCAACTTCGTAACACTAAGTAGTATATCCATGAAAAGTAGTTAATAATCGTGTCCCTTGTAGGTAAAGCTTTGACCACATTACTATGTCCGTTTTACTCCTCAAAGCTCCAGTATTTATAGAACTTATTACATTATTTCATTTATACTGTCTGTAGTTTACGCGCGTAGTACACATTTAAATAAAAACATTTTAACGGTTTAAAACGCGATATATATTATTTAAACTTATTGTGTTTAGCTACGTTACGTTGCTAACATATGATTATTGTGGACTCAAAAATATTACTTCTAAATATTTAGGTATTTACGTATATTTTTACATAGCCTAAGGGGATTTTCAAATGGAATAATTTTCGCCTGCATTCATTTTAAAATAATTATCATTCCTTGTACACCTTGGTCTAGTTGATATTAAAGTTCAATAACATATAAGCAATACATCGTGATATGACCTCACTAGCCATAAAGCTTAGTACCATGGCGCTATGTTAATGTTTCAATTATATTTATTAGATATAAAAAAGATAACACTTCAACGGTTTTAAACGATATATATTGGTTAAACTTATTTAGAGATTGTTTCAACCAAGGCTCGATGTTTCGGATGCTTTGCAGCAGCCGTCGTCACGGGGTCCCTAGTTATAATATATTTAGTAAGGTGTTTTATTAAAGTACTACTCACAATTAATAATTATCCAACTAAATAAAGTAGGCGATATACTGGAGCTAGTCATCGGTACCACTGGTAGACATTTTCCGGCCTCTTATAAATTTATTTAAATTTTTCCGAATGAATCTACACCCGAAAAATATAGACAATTAATGGGTGGTAAGAATGTCTGGAATACCTTCCGGATCGCGACCTGTTTGCTCGTCAACACAAGTCGTGGTGTTTAAATCCGACTTATGGTTTTAGGCTTTATTCAAATTTATATTTGTATTTGTTGTAAGTTAGATTAAGACCTGGCAATTGTTTTTTCCTTTAGTAATTTCGTTATCGTTCTGTAATTCTGGAATAATTACTACATTGGTAATGTAACAACGGTTTCCACAAATAATAGTTACTCAGCTTTATACCTACTTAGTTACCAAATAATCAATTTGTAACAAAAGATAAATACGCATGATATCTTAGTACCTATTAGCATGAAACAGATAAAGCACAATAGAATTAGATTAAAGATTATCTTATTTTTTACAATTATTTTGTTTAGCAGTATATCGGTAAATTAGATCGTTGTTATCTTATAGCCCAGGATCCCAGCGCTCGAATCTTTATGTAAATTAGTTTTAAATGAAGAAGATCGAAGTTCAATCATTACATCCAACTAAAACACAGCTACAAATTGAGATATAAATATGTATGTTGTAAATCATATTCGCGTATTAATAGAATAAATAGCATATAACAACATACATACTGCGTAATTATGCAGGTTATTGCACTTTACTTTCTCAAGAATAATTTGGAATTAATTTAATCAAGAAACAGATACCTGTAGGATTCAGCAGTCGGATCTTAAGCTATAAAACATTGTTTTATATGACAGAGTAAGAATAAGCCATGTGTCCTTATGATTAAAATTTCAGGTTATTTACAAGTTTATAATAATGAAATATTTCTTTTTCCTATATAACTCGTTAGTTTTGGCAAATTTGGTTTCCATCGAAGTCATCAAGGAAAGATCTGTATTACTGTACTACATGAACAATATAACAGAACACCTTATTTGCTCTTTCATGGACACTTGGCGTTAGCAGGATCCATCAAAATAATATCTCGACTACATATTGTGTTACTGAACTACCTTTAAAAACTATCACTTACGTAAAACGGAGACTACGCTGGTTTTTAAAAACGTAAATAAACACAACACAAATAACACCTTTGATTGCAAGATTACACGCGACACTGTCAGGTAGTGAGTACGATACAAAGTGGAAAGCCTTGTTGATAAGACTTCTCTAATAAGGAAAGTAGAATGACCTATATCGAGGTTATGCGATGTAACCTAGTTCAGTTACCTGGTTATTAAAAGATGACCTTGAACGAGAAGTATGCAGGATATAAATTAATCCCTCTGCAAGTATATGAAAATATTTTTTGAGTGTGTGTAATATAGAACTGTAACTTCAGATGTAAATAACTTTGCATAAAATTAACATTTCTCTAATTTGACCTCTGGTATGCCTATAATCATTCTCTGTATAGAATTGTATATAACATTTATTTTATTAAAAAAAATAAGTCTAAAAGAAATATTGTTTTATTATAAAAAAAACCACTCTTTTATAATCTTTAAAGTTTATTTAAGTGTACGATAAATTTACGTTAAATACGGCTTATAATTGAAAGCAATTGATATATGTATTTACAATTTATGGTAAAAAGTTTATACACAACTCATGATATAAGCGCCTGTTCTTTAAAATTTGCAAAAGACAGATAAGAAAAATTACAAATATAAAAAGAGCAGGCGTTATTTATTTATTTCCGTTCACTTCCATACTTTCTTCAAAATATTTTCAACCAGGTTCTGGGGTACACCTTTTAGAGTCTGCACTGGGTAAAGGGGGCGCGGGCTCCCCTTGCAACTGGGATAGGGCACAGCGGACGGCGGAAAGCATTTCTGGGGTAGATTTTCTGCTACGAGGGGCGTGAGGCCGGTGAGGTCTAGATATTCGCTCTGCTGTACCGGTTCCTTCTGAAAAATAGATGTTTATGCTCATTTATTACGAAAGAAAAACACATCTCAGAATGTCATAAATATAAGACACTTTTACCTGGTTAAAACGCGAAATGTTTTAGGTATTTTCTTTTTAATTTATTTTATTAAAAATCGAGGGGATCAATATTGTCAAAGTCAAATCTGCAATACTAGCGCCATCTGTTTCGTTGTAGTTGATATTTGGAGAAATTAGCTGAGTTATTACAGAACTGACTTACGGTGTCCTATAATTTCGCCGTAGGCCGTGAACATTTTACACAACAATATTCTGTCTTATCTAATCTAGATGGCTAAGATTACGATCGATTATTTTTAAACGTATTATCAGTTCAATATGTAAAATACACCGCGTTCTTATACATATATAAGATTTTCTCGCTTAATTCATCTTCAAAATACATATATTTATATGTATAAATAAAACAAATTTGAACGAGTTTAAACTTAAAGAATTGCTTACCTTGCATATTATTTTTTAGCCTACTCGCGTTAACAAGAAATGAAAATTACATCTTTTTTAAAATCTAGCTTTTAGCTTATGGCTTGCAAGTTCCGAACTACATATATACATTTTAAAACATGACGTACGCGGAACTGTTACCCTCAATCATATCATTAGTGTCTTAAATGTAAAATACTTTGTCATTACTGCCTCCCCTTTATTTCGCCACCCACATTTATCAAGAATCAATTTTACTATGGTTTAAAAATAAATTGGTTCTAAACTTACGATGGACTCTTGGACGATCCCTATCATCTTCAGACTTTTCACAGCAAGTACAGAAGTAGCAGGGGATGCCAGGTACCCCACAGCACAAAGCGCCCCAAAGCCATTTGTTTAGGGTACTACCAGCTCGGGTCCACGCCGACGACGACCGATCTTGGTGGTCGTACACAAAATCTCGGTTCATTTTAAGTTACCATTTCAATGTTTTTTATTTTCCCCCTATAGAGTGCGTCTTTGGTCGTGTTTTGTGTTTTGACATTAAATTGTCAGTACATATATGTCCTTAATGATACTTACAAAAAGTCTCAATAACAAAATGAACCTTCAGCCATTCGCAAAAAGCTTTGCGTTAAATCCTCTCAATGGGCTAATAATGAACGATTCGTGGGTTCAACCTGCACCGGGTCTAACATTATCTAAACTTCTAGATTTCTTTAGTTTAATTTTTAAATTTATATTAACAATATCTAAAATATCATTTAATTATTTTCTCGAAATGGAAAAATGATTCTAAGTGTGTGTTAAAGATACAAATATTTTTAATGTTAGGTTTAAAGAATTTATTCTCGAAGGTTATATAATATACAAATATTTTTTGCAATCCTTTGCTTGTCAATTAAATAACCCCTTATCAAGCACACTAAATAACCGTGAAATGCAAGAAAAACTCAAACGTGCTAACAATCTATAATTTTATTAATATCTTGATTCGTACCGTTAAAGGTCGAATCGCTGATGTTCGTACACAAAGGCAGCAAAAAACATGTTCAATTAAACACCTGTTGAAATAAAAATAAAATAATAATTGTGAAAAGTAGGCCATTAACATTCTATTGTCTGAAATAGCATTTTTAATTAATTGCTTATTCTCTGTCGTGAAAACTCAATCCTCCTACAAAGTCATCTTCACGTATATCCATTATATTGTTAGTATTATTTCTTCTGCATTTAATGTTTTCTATATTTACATACACATATATATAGAGACGTTATATAATTATGTATTTAATAAAACTCTATGTAACGCGAAATTTTGTATTTAAATTTATTTTTATTAATCTGTGTCATAATCAAAGCTGCTGAACCTCCTAACCGGTCGCAGCCGGGTTGTAGTAAAAAATAAATTAACTACTATATTTCGCATTTAAAGCCGTTAAAAATTGACGAATTTCAATTATTAAATTATAAGCAATATCAGCCATTGACTTTATTTGTTGTTTGCTTTGGTTGCTAGTATGTGAAATACTGGCAATATATAAAAAATAATGTGTTCGGATTAGGATCCAGTCCGACAGCGAGGTGCCTAAGCGATCAAGTCACGCTTCTCAATTACAGAACCTTGGCAGTTCCCTCACGAAGACCTAATGACAACCATCATTTACTCATTACACGATTTAGCGAAAAAACACAACTTCCCACCTCCATTCCGTGTTTTGAATCATTGACTGATGGCCTTTTGAAAAGTAGGCACGCGTTTTCATCTAAATTCATCAATATATTTAAACATGAATCTGAAGTTGCAATTGTTTTGCGGACAGTTGTTTTGGATAACGGCGTTGAGTGCGAAGAATATTGAAGGTGTCCCGGGTTACGGCAGAAACTTGATTATTAAGGCTTTGCCGGCTATAGACAATTACCAGAGCAATGTCTATGAAGTTATTATGGAGCCTTACCTATATGTAAGTATACGATTGTAAATATTTCTTGAGTTCGTGATATTTCTGAGTTAGTCTTAATACATTTCTAATTAGACTTTTGTTCCAATATGCCTTTGAAGTTACTTAATTATTGTTTATAATAAAAATTACACATAATTATGTGAAGCCGCTAGGGGCACTGTTGACTAACTGCAATTTTTGTGGCTTGAGTTATTTCTATTTTCATAATCTAATAATGTTACAAGAGCACAGTGACCGTAAATTATTAACAAAATGCTTACACAAGTAATAGTTTAAAGAAATTTTCGTCCAAGTTAATTGCGCATTTTTATTTTCCGCCTTATTGAAAATCATGTTTTCTGTTATTAGGCCACTCTGCCTCTAGCTTCCTTATTTATTTTTTAATAAACTAGCTGGTTAATTAGTATTAGTTTATTTCATTTGAATAAATAACCATACATGTTTTATAATGAAAGGGTTTAATCTTAACGATATGGAAGTACTCATTTTTTGTTTAAGTCTTCTCACTACATTTACGTCTAATAACCTCCTTTCAGTATTTTTGTATTATATGCATATTATGTGTTTTTTTCCACTCATCTATGTGTGAAAATAAGCTAATGGATAGCTTTTATAAGCTTGCCAATAACACGAGTAGTTAACCTGTCAAAATAGTTTTTGCTAAACTTTTTACATTCGCTTCATCCTACTTGTGAATCATTGGAATAATGCATTAATGTAGTCTATTTCGTGAATCAATTTCTTGGTCAATGAACTTGTCCGAATTGAATGAAAAAGTACATTACCTAAGTTGTTATTTGTACAGTCCTAACGACTAGTTAGTATCAAAAATTGACTGAATATGGGATGCTGCAAATATTTTCGGTTCCTAATTTTTAAATTTAAGAGATTTTTTTCTTATTTTTCTATTTAACAATAAAAAAAAAATTTTTTAGTAATAGTATTAACAAAATAAAATTTAATTTTTGCTACTAAATATAAATAAATGTATAAATAATAATTGCTATGTAAACAACGGTGTAAATTTCACGCTTTGTAAAAGTTTTATAATGTCCATCAGTTTTTTTGGAAATTTGTCTGTAGTTTAAGCGAGGAGTATATACATATTAGATCAAACAATTTGACGTTCGGCTGATAAAAAGCAGTCCAAACGTCGAGATAACAAAATATATTAATATATTTTACATTTATAAACGTTAAACGTGTTTGATTTCTTTGTTTTTTTTTATTTATTCAATCTAGCGTTTCTCGCCAAAAGTAAATTGTTTATTTATTTCTCACGATACTAAATTGTTTCTACATCTTTTAAAATACTAACAAATACATTATAAGTGCCTAATCTACTAATATAACACTCTGACACAAAACAGACATATTATTTTCACTAAGACAGAGCATGTTCACAATTCAAATACTTAAAATTGCAAATAGATTTTTGAATCTTCCAAAAAAACAACATGCTTGATTTTCAGAAACGTGGTCTCTTAGTCAACTTATTTACTAATTTAATTACAACTAAACTGTTAATTGTCCCCTATGTATTTTAGTGCTTTTTTATTATGTAATTAGATAAAAGTAGGTAAAGAAGTACATGTGTGTGTACCAAAAAGGGTTATTTATTTACAGGGACTTGGCGGACCATACCAGTTACCCAACGAACGCACGGAAAAACAAATTGATTTGGCTGTAAGTATTTATTTTACAAAAAAAAAATGAAGAAGCAATCAATAAAATAATTTTAATGGCTTGAAACGGGAAATGTATTTGTCATTTTACGGGTCTATACACTTTAAAATCTATTCTAGACGTTTCTTAATTTGTTTGGAAAATTTTTGGCCCGGGAGTCAGTTTATTAAAAAAGGACCTTTAACTTCAGCCCTGAATGGTATATATTTTGTTTAAAAGGTTAAAAGTGTTATACCCAATATATACTGCTCGCGTAAGCTACAGACAATAATGTTTAAACATTATACATACGGTACACGTAATTTTATAAAAACATCTTATATAAGCATGTATCATGTCTGTAATATAAAATGATAATAATAGAAACAATTAGATAAGTAAAAAATGGAGGGACTACAATTAAAATTGCCGTTACACGTCACGACTCACGACAAAGCAATCTTAACTCTTCAAATAGTTTTAACAGAATTTGCAACCTCCTTGAATGGATCACGAATCGTTGAATCAAAATTCGTGATGAATTTTATTTCCTCAATTGGATATTAATGGGTGGGTATATTCATTAAAGTTTGAGATAATGACAGTCTAAAGAAAACTTCATCTCTTTTAAATAAAAAATAGTATTTCATTATAGTCTAAAAAAACGTATACGAAATTCCCTTTCCCCCAGAGAGGCATAAGGCTAAGATATATCTATGTCTATAGGAAAATAGTTGATCAAACTTTTAAACCAAAACCTTTGATTAAACGGTCAAAAGATTGGACAGAGGCCCCATTGGGATTCGAATCCAGGACCTCTCGTGCTTAACGCAGTTAACCATTGCTTCAAAGATTAAAGGGAGAGGCAAGAGTTCCACTATAATTACAAAACTACCCTCAAAAGTCATTGATAAATACGTACTAGTACGGGTATACATGTATTTTTCAACATATAATTAAATACCACAAGGATACCATAAACATATCTTCCCAGTCTACAAGAACGGTCTTTTAAAAATCAAGTAAATAAAAATGATTGCGTGTTATTTATAAACAGAGTTTACGGCGTCAAGGACTGTACAAAATAACAAGTGAGGGAACTACCATAAATTAAAATTAATTATCCATCCGCAGTATATGCTTAAGATTACCAAAGAATTATTTTAATTGTTAAGTCGGAAATAAGTCATGACCATTGTATTATTGTTTTAGACATTTAATAAAATACTGTGTGTTGGAAATTAATTGCTACCTACACTAGATGTAGAAAATTATGTCACAACATGTATTTGCTGTCTTTTTTTATTTAATTTGAAGCGTTCTTGAGTTTTATGCTCAATGCCAAATAATTTATTTTGTGGTTATTAAGAATACATAGAATAGTAGTTCAATTTTAAATATTATTTGCTGTCTTTTTTTATTTAATTTGAAGGTTCTTAGTTTTATCTCAATCCAAATAATTATCATTTGGTGTGGTTATTAAGAATACAGTAGAATAGGTAGGTCTCAATTTTAAATATGTATTTGCTGTTTTTTTTTATTTAATTTGAAGGTTCTTGAGTTTTATGCTCAATGCCCAAATAATTATATTTGGTGTGGTTATTAAGAATACAGTAGAATAGGTAGGTCTCAATTTTAAATATGTATTTGCTGTCTTTTTTTATTTAATTTGAAGCGTTCTTGAGTTTTATGCTCAATGCCCAAATAATTATCATTTGGTGTGGTTATTAAGAATACAGTAGAATAGGTAGGTCTCAATTTTAAATATGTATTTGCTGTCTTTTTTTATTTAATTTGAAGCGTTCTTGAGTTTTATGCTCAATGCCCAAATAATTATCATTTGGTGTGGTTATTAAGAATACAGTAGAATAGGTAGGTCTCAATTTTAAATATGTATTTGCTGTCTTTTTTTATTTAATTTGAAGCGTTCTTGAGTTTTATGCTCAATGCCCAAATAATTATCATTTGGTGTGGTTATTAAGAATACAGTAGAATAGGTAGGTCTCAATTTTAAATATGTATTTGCTGTCTTTTTTATTTAATTTGAAGCGTTCTTGAGTTTTATGCTCAATGCCCAAATAATTATCATTTGGTGTGGTTATTAAGAATACAGTAGAATAGGTAGGTCTCAATTTTAAATATGTATTTGCTGTCTTTTTTTATTTAATTTGAAGCGTTCTTGAGTTTTATGCTCAATGCCCAAATAATTATCATTTGGTGTGGTTATTAAGAATACAGTAGAATAGGTAGGTCTCAATTTTAAATATGTATTTGCTGTCTTTTTTTATTTAATTTGAAGCGTTCTTGAGTTTTATGCTCAATGCCCAAATAATTATCATTTGGTGTGGTTATTAAGAATACAGTAGAATAGGTAGGTCTCAATTTTAAATATGTATTTGCTGTCTTTTTTTTATTTAATTTGAAGCGTTCTTGAGTTTTATGCTCAATGCCCAAATAATTATCATTTGGTGTGGTTATTAAGAATACAGTAGAATAGGTAGGTCTCAATTTTAAATATGTATTTGCTTCTTTTTTTATTTAATTTGAAGCGTTCTTGAGTTTTATGCTCAATGCCCAAATAATTATCATTTGGTGTGGTTATTAAGAATACAGTAGAATAGGTAGGTCTCAATTTTAAATATGTATTTAAAAATGTGTTTTGCATGTGTTTTACATGTCGACAGCCCTTTTTAAAACTTCAGTAAAATTTAAGACTTCACCCAAGACTTTACAAAATAATTTATCCTTTTTCATTCTTGCACCTTTCAGGAGGCTACAATACCTGGTCTCCGAGCTATTGCTTATCTGCAAGCGGATCAAGATTCTGGGGTAACTGGCCAACTGATATTTAGGCAGTTGGTGCCAAACGGTCCAGTGGTGATCGAAGGCAATGTCACAGGACTGTCTGCGGGTCTACATGGGTTGCATGTGCACCAAGTTGGGTCAATCAAGGATAACTGTCAGGACATCGGCCCACATTTTATAGCGTACTATGTAAGTGATATTTGTTATTTACTAGTTTGTGAGCAAAACATGTTAAAATTATTTATAATGAAATATTTACAACTTTGATTCAAACGCGCCTCGCCAAATATTTTAGCAATTATTTAAGTTCTAGATCTTTATTTTTCTTCCTTATGAGAAGTCTCTTACTGACCGAGTTCCTTATCGCGTTGTAATTTGGCTAACACCATGTCTTTAAATTGACAATTTATAATTAATGATCCTTACTGATTATATTTGGCACAGAATAGTAACGTCCATCGTTCTATTTATGACATCTGTGCAAAATGCTAATTTCGATAAAAGTAAGCTATAACAGTTTGTCGGGCTCGTTTGTCTGAAGGTCCCGACGTATGGCCTAATATTCAATGGGATGTGGGTTCGATCCCCACCGGGTCTAACATGGTTCAAAATTTTCAATTTATACTTTTTCTGAAATGTATTGGACCTCGTCTGGAAAGCTGGATATTAAATAGATGGTAGAAAGATCAAAATTAGTCCGTGAAGTTTGATCGCTATTCGGTTTCAGTCTGTGGAATTCCGAATATGAGGACGCGCTGTCGACTTATTTTGGTTTCGGAAGCAAGTTTGGTTTGGTTTCATGCTAGTCTGTCGTCCTCTATTATTTAAAAACAATCGACAGGGTCGCCACGGGGGACCGCGCGACAACATTCGCCACGTCGGAGACCTCGGCAATATAAAAGCTGAGGAGGATACGCTCAAAGTCAAGATATTAGACCACCTGATATCCTTGGCTGGCCCACGGTCCATTGTCGGACGATCGATAGCCATCACTAAGAGCGAGGATGACTATGGCCGTGCTAGTACAGAAGACAGCGCGCTGACTGGTACTTCGGGAGCAGTTATTGCTTGTGGGGTTATTGGCTATTTGAACTAAGTTAATTGAGGCCGCTAGTAGTAGAGTGCCCTATTAAAATAAAATATTAACTTAGACGAAAATGAATATAAAAATAAGTCATAAAATTGCAGTTAGGCTACTCTGCCTGTAGCGGCCTCAAAGTAAGAAACGGTTTTCCGGCTGCTAGGCCGACGTCTGTGAGATAACGTTCTCGAAGTTACCATTAGCAGAGAGTCTTCAGGTGTTGACTAGTTATAGATTGTTCACCCCGAAAAAGTAAGACGGCTGCACAACCAAAACAGCACTAGCTAAGAAAGCTTCATACAATTTATTAGTGTTAAGCTAAACTAAGAACGATATTGTTTAAAATATAATTATAAAAGCTGATCACAATTTATGTAAAACTATTTTTTTCAACTACCCTTTCAATCCGTTTAAAATGTTCTATGTGAACTAATAGTTGTCATCAACAATAGTTCCCCAGCTCAAATACGATAATATCGAAACAAATAAAACACGCAAAGTTCATACAAAATTTGTGTATATTAGGAAGAAACACTGGACTATAAAGCGTAATATGTTAGAGAGGAATTAAAAAAGGATTATTTATATAATCTATGTGCGTTTTAAAAACGATTAATAAAAAAACATATAAAACCATTTTCGCTTACAGCCACCATACAATAACTTATAATAAATACATCCTTAAAAATGTGACATGTACAGTCGGCAAGTGTTATAAAAATTAATACATACACTCTGTAGTTTATACTAGTAGATATTAAAATAAAACACGACCCGACGTTTCGGTTGGTTTCAAACAGCCGCGATGGCGATTGCAATTGAAAATAAATGTTATATTTGGTGTTTTAAACCGTCAAAGGTGTTTTAACTACGTAGGTATATTTGATTAATGTATTCATAGCTTTGCTGTTGATTTTTTTTGGATGACATTGTAATGGTATTATTACTGCTTGCAAGCTGTACAGTCTTTTAATTAACTACTATATTACTGTAGACCGATAGCATCGATGATGCTCTGCGCCTTAGCGACATAGGCCTTCTGTGCATCCTCCTTGGACATTCCATTTTTGCTACTCCACGCCTCGAATTTAGCTTTGCCTTTCAAGTCGAACATACCGGGCTTCTCTGAAAAGAGAAAATGTTATAATTAATTAAAATAATTTCATCATCACGAATGACGCAATGTAATTAATTTTAATCATCACTTCTCACTGACGATGGTAACTTTATTAATGTAAAAACAAAAGAATTGCGTTGACCTCGGTAACAACAATTTTATTATGAAGTTTTTAGTGTCATTTGCTATTATCTAGTTTGTTTTAACCACTCAAGAATGTTATGGTTAATGCATTCGCCTGCAGATCACAACGGACCCGGAATGGAATCCTGGATCGAGCGAAATATTACTCTAGTAGTTGGAAATTTTCTAAGAAATTTTCTAGAACCAGCCAGCGGTAATCGTAAGAAGTCGAAGGGTGTGGTGGGTTAAAGTGTACCACTCCACAACCACTCGCACAAGTCATAAGCAAGATGTTTGATCAATATTATTTGTGTATTTAGTAAATTTATTTTACCAAAAGGTAAGATAAATTTACTTAATGGGAGGGTAGTTTGTTGGTCCCTATACAGACGCACAGAGTAACGAAAGATATAAATATCTTTCGTTACTGCCACCGAAGCATGTATGCATCAATCCATTCGTTAACGCTTAATTTGTATTGGCAGTAGGTTTATATGTAATGAATAATTTATATTGTATTTAACATACAAAATGTAGCGGACGTAAAGAATTAAAGTGTTATAATTTATAATAAGATAGTATTTTTATTCACGGAATATATCTTGTGATAATAGTTTACCGATAAACTAGAATAATCAGTTAAGCTTATCTATTCATAGCTATTAAGTCGGCAATTATCTTTAAATAACGTAAAAAACAAGTTAATAATTATAGGAAACTATAGCAACTAAGTTAAAGTCCACACATTAAACGTAATATTTATTTAACTACCTTATTTTACGGTCTCTTCAAATAATTCTTCCGCAAAAAGATCTACAGATACAGATCTAAATAGCAATCTAGGTCGTGCTTGACCTCCATGGGGCAGATACACGTCTGCGTTTATTCCATTGATCAAATTTATTTACAGGTAAGTAGTTATTACTAACGTAATTATTAATTCTTTTGAGTAGGATGTAAAAACCTACAACATTTTTATGACTTATGCACGGCTATTGTTATCGCGTTGGTAATAAAAAAAGAGCAAATTTTAGAATCTAGCGTGATCGTAAATATTTTTTACCCAATTCGATTTTCATAAGTCATTTTATAACATCTATAAAAATAAAGATAGTTGGGTTTTGTGGGTAGATAGGAAGGTTTTAAACCTAAGGGTAATTCGGTACCTTATTTCAGAGCTTGCCTACTGTCTGGTATCACTATAGTATCTATAGAACCGTGATAGCTAAAACCAATTTTTTATGCCTTTACTATGTCTTGTCTTTGTCTACGACATGAAACCGTGCTGTATTTTTTAATAATTCTGTTGTGCTAATAACTAGTAACAAGACTTCCGATGTTATAACATCTACATCTACTAAGTCATATTTTACCCTAATTACCGGCTTAGACATGTCTTAAAAGAAGCCTGTTCTTTAAGTATTTCTTTAATAACATACTTGGCTTATACAACACTTGAAGTATATTTACGTACAGTTGTATATCTCCTTCGTTACATAATAACAGGTTTCGAGGATTACGTAGAGTTGACCGTTATTGATTTTAACACTTTGAGGTTATTTGGGAAAGATATATCGGCGTAATTACAAACCCAACAAAAGTGGTAGATCCAAAAGTCATTATGGTAATATTAAAGAACAAAAACGTCCTAGAAGATAGTGGCAAGGAAGTAGTTTTCATATACATGAATTAATTGTAAAAAACTGTTTTCCTACTGCTTAGCTCAAGAATTGCACATAGACCATTCCCAACATAGCCTTGATTATTTTCGGCAGTCTTAGAAAATGTATGATTTTGCAAAGTAAAAATTTACCCCCTACACCACACTTCACTTAAAAGGTGGACTGTGGTTGCATTGGTAGAGCAATAAAAAAGTTTTGAATGGTAACTTTTAATTGTATTTCCTCATTGCTGTTATACGTCAACAGAACAGGAAGGAAATCTGTGGTGTAACCGAGCAAATTACCTACTTGTTTTGACATAATCATTGAGCACTGAGACCTACAAAATTGCTATAACTTATATATATTAACCTACTAGAATAAGATCCATATTATGAAGTATGTTTATAAAAAATCTTTACTAATAATAGTTAAATATAATTATGAATATCCTTTCAAGTTATCAACTATAGTAGTATAATTGTATGGTATGCAATTCAATGTCAATGGCCGTAAAACCTACCTGCAGGGTTAGCATCTCCAACAGTAGCCTGTTTGAAGTAAGCATAGATTTCCAAGAGATCAGCATCACTAGGGCGGCCCTTTAGTTTTTTTATGTTCTCAGCGGCTTTGTCGAATTGCTGCAATATTAATATTTTTCTTAGTTCATAACTTCAATGTAATTTGTGTTAAAAAAAAAATGAATGTCATTATACAACAAACTTACTTAAGTCATTTATATACATTAAACCTTGATTTCTGAGGTAAATAAAAAATATGAATAACTATTATTGAATGACCTTCATAACATGTAAAAAGTTTTGTGAGAAATGTGATATTCAGTTTTAGCAACATAAAAGTCCAGAGAGTAATTAGTACTTAATTAAATTATTGAATTAAGAGAAACTATAGTGAAAGGTGTACCCTTAAGAACATTTTACATATAATTGTCATATAACTTTCTACATATACTGTATGCAAATGAATTCACATGCACTATAAATAAATGGGTTCATTATTCAAATATTATCATTTAAATGACCTCTACGGCATGAGGTGGTGGACCTCTTTAGAATAATAACTTAATGCATACCTCTTGTAGAGACATGATGTATGTTATTTAATGACCTGCAATGAAAAATAATATTTTAAAAGAATAATACGTGACCGGTTTAATCACTTTAGTATTAGGTCTACGATAGCGGCGAGTATAAAACTGTTGATAAGATTAAAACGTATTTACTTACTAGGATAAGGGCACGTCAGCTCACTGTGAAAATTTGTTCACAACTAAAATATTAAACTGAATGCTGATTGCTGAATACAATTCGAGTAATGAGGTAAAATGTGAAACGTTTTGCGTGAGGACTTAATGACGTGGTCGTCGGTCATTAATTTTTTCACAAGCCTCAGCGCAGTGCTACAGCATGAGACTTACGTTACGCCAATTAGAGCTATTTTGAATGTAATTAATGGATTTTAGTTAAGCATAATTTAATACTAAAATCCTGATACTCTTTTACCTAGCCGACGTATTATTTTGATTTTATGACAACTGTCAGTTGGGGTTATAATGACAATTGACATTTATGATTTGACACTATATAATTCGTTATAATATCTACTTTGTGTCTATTATGTTGTTATCATGATTTTTATTCTTGTTATTATTTAATTTCTAATTCCTCGCAACGGTAGTAAATGTTGTGAATGTTAATCCTTACGTTTGTAGCACATATCATTTTTTATTATTATTACATAAAGAGCTAGAAATCTGGATCTTATTTGGTATATTCCTTAAAGAAAGAAATATGGGAATTAAACACAGGCGAAAGGTATGACAATTATCTAATTACTACGTTTTAGCCTTTTTACTACTTTCAAATGTCTCAATGCAACTAGCATTCACACTTCGATGGTGAAGAAGGCGTTCAGTGGCGAAACAAGTTAATTTTTCGCTGAGATTTGAATCCGGTGCGACTCCAAGAGAACTCAATGCGTTGGTTATCAAATGACTTTGTGGTATGTTACAACTTAATTATTATGATAGCTATATATATTAATAATAATACACATGCTAAACCTATATATTCACAAAATGGCTACAACATTGTACCTATAAAATTCCTAAACAAGCTAAACATACCTAGTAAGTTAAAAAATGCAATTATTTTATCTCACTCTTAAATGAATATGAACTCAGCGTTTGAACTTTGAATACAAGAAAGCAATATATAGTAATAAAAATTTATTCAGAACTCATTCACATTTTTCGCCGAAATAGAACACACAATAAACACAAATAATAATTAATGACTACAATAATATTAAATTAAAATCTATGCGTATTTTGGTGAGAGCTGTCCGGCCATGTCGATGTACTGCTTCTTGGCGTCTTCTTGGGAAATACCCTTGCGTCCGGTCCATGCCTTGAACTTAGCGCTGGCTACCACGTCTGTGACTCCGGGGGCAGCTGTAATAGAATTTTGCGATTTTAATAAATTTAGGAGTAAAACATAAATTTCATTGAGAAAAAAAAACAAATTATCTTAGGGATTTCGCGGCCATTTTGAAAAGCTACTTGAGTATTGAAGCTGTTCAGTCGTCGTAATTGATAAATCCTCGAAAGCTTGAAAACCAAAGAAGATAATATTTTAAAAAACATTTCTGACTCTACTGGCCTTTAGGTATAACCTCTCAAAGTATTTTTGGCTTCGCTTAATTCAGTAAATAGTAAGTATAATGTTCCATGCTTGAGGTTTGTCTAGAAGTGAAGTGTCCTTAAAGCAGACCTTTGATTTTTATTGTGAGCAAAATGAATACCCACCGATGTTGACATCACCAACGGTAGCTTGCTTGAAGAGAGAGTACATGGCTAGGTTCTCATTGTCTGAGGGCCTGGTCTTCCAGTTCCTTACGGATTCAGCGACCTTTTGGAATTGCTGAAAAAGAAAATAAATTTAATATTTCTTTCCATAATACGAAATTGGAACAACATTTTATGTAGTTTCAGTTTAAGATAGTAGCTAAGTAATAACTAAGGGCCCCCGTACATAAAGAACGAATCTGGCCCTCATCCCTCTCAGTCTGTACTTATATAACCCTCCAATATTTTAGACTTAGAATAAGAACAGATCAGTTCGTTTAAAAGGTTAGTATACTAAGTTTTTTTTAAAGTTCTTGTTCAAACGTAATCTATTTTCAAACATGGGTTAAGGGGCCGCCTTAGCCATCGGAATTCTGGTGCACTGCACCACCAAGCCCTACGATAGCTATGCTACTAAAAACCTCATTTGAAGTAATAAAATAAAATACTCACTTCGTCGAGAGACATCTTGAGAAGGGTATTGGATCGAGATCTGTAAAAGTAAATAGTGTTAAGTACTAGTTATACGAGATGCGCTAAGTTGTCATTCAACATGTAAAATAATACGATGTCTAAGAAATTATTTATTCTAAATTGTCTAGCCTAGCGTACTTATAAGCTAAATCGTATCTCGTAGCTTAGTACGTGTGTATTTATATATCAAATAATTTAGATTTAAAGGGAGATATTTTTTTAGGTACTGCGATATCTTTTATTATTATTTGCGTACGTAAATCATTAGCGATTAATCAGGAACATATCACTAATCTTATCTAAGAAAATGTATTTACAATAGTATTGAATCGTTTTATACATACAATTATAATTTAGAGATAAATAATTTTTAGGATATAGCTCAAGCAATTTAAGAATGAAATAACACTAAGTTGCTATGACAATGAGAGTTTTGAATCTATACTTATATTAAAAAGCTGATGAGTTTGTTTGAGCGCGCTCATCTCAGGAAGTACGGGTTCGAATTGAAAAAATCGTTTCGTGATAGTTAGAGCATCTATTGAAGGTTTTAGCTATAAAACATCACGCTGCCACCAATAGGAGTGAAAAAACCGCGGGAAATGTAGGAAATACTGGGAAAGTTTTTCATTATTAAGGGTTTCCGTTGTATGCGCTCCTAAACTGTAGTCGAAACTCGAAAAATATAAATTGTGTAAGACTTTCACGGCCATCGTTCAGCATATCGTTGTCTTTCGGTCTGTTCGGCCGACGTGAGCGAGAAGAGGTTCTAGATATTCTTCGAGCAATCGAGGAGTCAACATCTCCTGATGATGCCGTCCACACGTGATGGCGAAACGCCGAGAACCTCTTCTCGCTCACGTCGGCCGAACAGCCCGAAAGACAATGATATGTCGAAGAATGTGTAATAATATGTCTGCCACAGTATATGTATATATTTTAATATTAACTCACAAAAACTGTTTTTACTAAATATAGGAAAAGAACGTTTGCCAGATCAGCTAGTTTATTATAAAATTAAAAAGAAATGATGCGGGCAGTATTGAGGTTGAAATTACATTAAATAAGAGATTGGTCGAATTATTATGATTACGAACAAGACACGGTAGGTCAAGCAACGCTATGGCCGCAGGTTTGATTCCTGCCGTTTATAAAATACATTATATAAAAAATAGTATAAATAGAAAAATATAAATAAACAGTTACATATTTAGCAAAAACAAGTTTTTAGTAAAGCAAAGTCCACTTACCACAAGGTTAAAGCTAGTTGAAGAACGGTCAGTGACTGAAGATATTTCGTCGCCCGCGCTTATAATAAATTTTCGCGGGCCTGTACCTATCAGATAGCATTTCTTATCTAGGTTTGCGATACTGTGTAAAAATGTATACTATATTGACATCCGGGTTCGCGTATTCATGGATCGGTTAGGTTGTTCCTTCAGAAGTTTTGATACTAAAATAATGTGTGCGCGTGCAAATTTTACAATGCATGACTCTTAATTTAATAGTAAGTAATTCGTGTCGCAGAAGATTTTGACACATTTTTGTTCGTAAAACAATAATTTTCATTCGATTAAAGATTTGAGTAAAAGGGTTCGGAAACGTAAATTTTCTTTTTTATCTCCGGACAACGAATATTAGATCATCGTAAACTTGACATAACTAACTTTACTTCAAAATATTACTGCACGGAAATACTATTATATTATTAATCTACTAACTATATTTAGAATTAGATAGTAATCAATATATTTGTATAATCCATGATATTATACATAGTTTGGTAGCTTCTTTAAATAGACACCAGACCTCCCTAGAGCATATATTTTAAAAGTTGTGTTTTTTGACTCAGGTGGAGTGACTCAGTTGAGTGCGAGAGAGCCTGGGTTCGAATCGTGGATAAAATGAGCTTTGTTTATGCTGGGATTCTGGTGAACTAATTGCGTAGCAGAAAATCGAAGTGAAACCAACACAAATATGTGTCTGCCCCATGCCTGACAAACAGAAAACGATATTTCACACTTATTGTGTCTTTAAAATTATTCAACTGAAGTGCTTAAGGCCCATAACACCAAAATCATTTTCTTCACATACCGTTGGATACAAAATTTAATTTTTCAACAAATGTACCTTATCGAAAAACATATACCTTCATTTTGTGAAATCGGCTAATGAGATTACAAAATGCACACATAGTTTCGACAATATTCCGTGGTACTTTATTTTAAATCCGTTAAATAAAGATATATTTCAAGAGCTACCGGTTTTATCAAAAAGAAATACGCCTTTACGGTTGGCAATAAACTCATTCATTGAGTAATTATTATTTATTACGTGATTATACTTACTATTTTCGTTAAACCTCATTTTACGTAATCATAATCCTCGCCATATTTACCTCTCAACTGACTTATGCGTTTGATGCAATAATTTAGTATTATTATAGTTAGGTAACGAACGGGTACTTTCAGTATCTGTTTATATCTTAACAAGATGCGCGACCGTCCTATCTTTGCACAGACTGAAACCGAATGTGATTACACATCACTGCATTTTCACCTGCGGACGATGATACGGACGGAATTTCGAAATTCCTATCCATACTTTTCAGACTTAGTAACGTGTTTCAGAAAAACTTTTAATCGCTTTCAAGACCATGATTTAGCCGGTGAGATCCGAATCTACGACCAGGGTTCGATTATTGGCCATGATATCTCATTTTACCATTGCACCTTTGATGGAATTGTATTCAACTTAATGTTAATAAAATTCGTGTAATGTTAATGAGCTTTGTAATAAGTTTTAATCTTTAGATTCCTTTAAAATTAGCTAATTAAATATAATATAATGTGTGAAGTAGCATTATTTAATTAGAAAAACTATTTGGCATACACTTTTATATCCATTTCCACTACTGGTGGCAAATAAACATTTAAAAATGTTTAACGCGGTTTTTAAAGACGCTGGTGCTGATTTTACCACCATATAACTAACTTACTTAGGTATAAAGCTATTAGCCATTCAGAGAAGCTAGTCGGAACTGCTTAAATTTACTAGATGATCAAGTACAAACAAGAGGTAGTGAAAAGAAAAGGATTCTTTTCTTTTTTGTTTCTACAGCCACTGGAAGTTTGTCAGAGAGTTTTTGAGCTAGCTTAACACACTAGCTATGTCAGCGACGTCATCTGCGTAGAATAGTTATTTTTGGCATCAAAATTTGTTTTTACAAACTTTCTCTTCATCTTTATACAGTTAAACTATTAGGACATTATTTCAGATCATTCACTTCTTCTCGCTCACACTCACACTTCTTCTCGCTGTGTCTTCGCTTCATTTATCGCAGCGTAATGTTTTATAGCCTATGGCCCTAAGAAAATAAACCAACACAAAAATAATTTTTAATTCGAACAAATAGTCCCTGAGATTAGCGCACTCAAACAAACAAACAAACTCTTCAGCTTCATATGTTGGTAAAGATACGAAAAACGCCTTTCTTAGTGCATCCGTAAATGTTTGATGTGTGGCTATATAGACCCATAAACTTGTAGTTTGTTTATTCATACAATGTAAATGTATTGTAAAGTTTAAAAGCTGACATAAAAATAAGGAGCAGACAATTATTTCGATATTGTAAACCATTCATCCGAAGAGTTCACAAACGGGTCAGAAGAGAAGATCATTGACGTTGGTCAAAATTCGTGCGCCACTTACTACAACTTACTAATTATAGCATAAGGAAGTGTATTGATAAAAGTCAAAACAAAGATGACTGGTACCTACTACAACTCAGTTTACAAACAATAGATGATAACCAAGATCAACGTTCAGAATTTTCATTCACGAACGATAAGTGGATTACTTAGTATGGGCTATACCAAAACATTAAAGTTCAAGTATTTATTTTTATCAAATCGTGAATTGAAACTTACTTTGTCCACCAATATCTTATTATATCGTCGTGTTAATGGGTACTAAAGGTCATATCAAAAACTTACTTATCGTTGAAACATTAAAAATTATCAATTTCGACGCCGAAGCAGATATACTATTAATGATTTGATTGCACCTACTCCCTATTTGATAAGAGATTACATAATCTATGATAACAAATAACCCCTGTAGCAACCACTGAAAATAATATTTATTAATAATTTATAAATTGAAATCTTAAAGAACATCCCAGCTAAGTTCAAGAAACCCAAATCTAGTGACTAAATTTATCGGTTAGAATTATCATTTTCATGTTCGTTACAGTATGCATGTAACACGTCTTTAAATATAACTGAAAATGGTTTAAACAAAAAATATATTTTAGTTATATATAGCTTAAATATATTAATAGTTTAAAGTTTGATTTGTATTTCAAATGTAATTTCGTTTAAACATTTTCTTAGTTAACTTAAATGTAGCTTTAAAATTACATATTTCTGGCTTGACGCAATGGTTACATAACAACCAAATGTTCTATACATGTGGCTGTTAAGTTGCTGAATAATATACAAACCATTATGTAAGAAGACTCTAATTACCCTTAACGTCTTATACATACGTAGTAATTCATATCTACATTTATATAAAACATTATAATATTTTAATAAATCACTTTAACGGTTTAAAACGCGATATTTCGCGTTCGGTCCGACTTTTCGGAAGCTTTGCAGCAGCCGTGGTCACGGGGAGACCGACATGGCGAAATTTAAAAAGAAGCGAAGTTAAAAATAATTTTCACATAAGTTTTACTAATATATCGCGTTTAAAACCGTTAAAGTGTTTTATTTAAATGTGTACTACTCGCGTAAACTATAAACAGTATTTTACATTATTACATATCAAGGGACTTAGTAATCACAAAAAAACTATAAAAACCTATTTTTAAATCTTAAGCGGGACTCGTACGCAAGAAAACAGCGATACGTGGAACAGCTCTAACTTTTGAGCTACCATTTTTTTTAAATCTTAACAATAATTTTAATCTATGAAATAAGTAAAACGTATCTGTCCTTTTTTGATCTTATCCTTTTTATGGGTGCAAATGTGAACACGAAGATAACTATCGCTTGAAAATGATACCTAACAGGTATCAGGGTTTAGTTATATTCGATAAGTTATCACCTCCTTCCTTACCAGTGGAATTATTTCACTTTTCGTCCCTATCGGATATTTGCTCAAATTTTATTGATAGCATCGTTAACTGCCATGCCTTGACACGAATTTATAACTTTTTATTGCATTTTGATAATGACACGACAGTATCTATATAGTAAGTTCACTCATAGAATATTCCCATACATGGTTCGACATTATTTACTCAAAAATTAATTTTCACTTAAGCGTAAACACAATAATATACAGTACATTATATTATATGTGAGTGGGTGCGAATACAAGAACAAATACTTTTAAACTAGCTGTGTCAGCGACATCGTCTGTATAAATTATACTTATTTTGGGCATCCAAATATGTTTTTGCAAGCCTCCTCTTCATCTTTATAAATTAAAGCTGTTACTCGAGACATCGGTCGAGTCCCGTCGTTCTTGCAAGTTATCCTTAAGATAGACATATAACGCCGTGGACTTTTTTTTAGGATATTTAAAAAGGAATAATTCTTTGATACATATTTTTTAGGTCTCTTGGACCGTTTTTGCAGCGTACCTACGCGTCGGAACCCATAATGTTGAATAATTTTTCCATTTTTTTTTCACATTTCCCGCCGTTTCTTCGCTCAAATTAGTCAAATCGCGATGTTTTATAGCTTGCCTTCCTCGATAAGCGCTATAAACAACACAAAAATGAATTTTCCAATTCGAACCAGTAGTTCCTGAGATTTTTATATTAATCAGTAGCCATAATTAATTTTTAAAATCTTATATAATAATAAAAATGTTATTTTAAATAACAACGGATGAAAATCGTGTGCTTGGCAGTTGACGCAGCGAGATTTTAGTGACTAGTTACTGACGCAGACGATATTGAATATATATGTATATACATTTCATGACCAGATCGTAAGAACTTAACTTGTCTGAAGTTAGCATTAAAACAACACTTCTAAAAATTTAAAACGCGATACAATAACGAGGTTCCTATAACCACGGCTGTATTACATCTGAAGCTTGGGATCGTAGTTAAAATACATTTTAAATAACTATAGGTATATTTCGCGTTTTAAACCGTCTACAGTATTTTATTTAAATTGTAACCTAGTCGAAGTTATAGAACATCAATGATTCTTTGATAATAATATAAAATTCTATATTAATGACGACAATAAAATAATAATGAAATTTTTTTCTTATATCTAATAAAGTAAATAATTAATTATAATAACATCTGCGTCATTAATTATTATGTCTTATCTCTGTAGGCGACAGACCGACACAGTAGAAATAAATATCAGATCAGAAGTGAAACTAAAAACGGTAATATACAATTATTTCAGACTAACTGTGTCAGCGACTTCGTCCGCCTAGAATAGTAAATTTGGGCATCCAAATTTGTTTTTACAAACACCTTTATCTTAATCTGTGACCCACGACGTCGGTCGCGTCCCTTCCCGTCGTTCTTGCAAGTTCATCTTAAAAGATCAGAATTCTAAATCTAATCTTAGATCTAATGAATCTTAAAGACATATACCGACACGGACATTTTTTAGATCACTTAAAGAAGAATCATTCTTTCAAACATGTTTTTTGAGTATAATAAACCATGTTCGCAGCGTACGCATCGGAAACCCACAAGAATTAATAATTTTTTTTTACATTTCCGCTGTATCTTTGCTCGTATTGGTCACAGGGTTGTAGGTTGTAGTCAGATGTTTTATAGCCTATAGCCTTCCTCGATAAATGCCTTAACCAACACAAACAGGATTATTTAATTCGAAACCGTAGTTCCTGAGATTAGCGCGTTCAAACAAACAAACATACTCTTTAGCTTTATATATTGGTAGAGATTAGAATATAACATATAATAATAAAACTCGTTTATTGTAATGTATATTACTTTTCTTTTATTCTATAACGTTTAAGATATAATTATTATAATTAACAGTGGCGCCATCTTCGAAGTCGGAAAGGGCTTGAATTTTGTCGTAAGGTATCATCATGGGATCGGTGGGGGGCATTTGGACAGTCGCAGCGAGTACTGGATTCGACTTCCCGTCCTTCAAAAGGAGCACTTTTATGAGAGACCCCTTCGTTTGACCCGTGACTGTCCGAAAAAATACATCGGGGCTTATATTATTTGTGAAGACTTCTTCCACTTTATTTGGGAACTTCATCTTGCTACCGGGTGTTAGAAGAGGTATCTGTAAAGCATAAAGTAATATATAATTTAGATACTTAACGGTACGAATATGGATATTGTATTCGGGTCACAAAACAGCGTCCACAGATGAAAAAGACAGTATATTTTATATTTTGTAGTTGCAGGACTGGAGCACGGCCGGATTTAAAGGACCCTCGGGATCTTCACTAAAGAGGGACCTGGGACCCTTTACTGTGAGTAAAGATTTGTTTTCTTTTTTCAATTATATGTAGGTATGCAATATAATTATATCATTTTCGAAAAATTGACTATTTTATATATTTAGATATTGTTCTGAAATCCTGGACACTCAATTTTATTAGAATAAGAATCTAGAACGGTCATATGACCACCGTCACAATCTTTGACAACCTAGATAACCACCTTGCATAATGGAAAGCGCATAACGATAATATTACTATTTTTCCAAGAAATGCACTATCAAGTCATTAGTGATAGCTATAATCTAATCGTAATCGCAGGTGTCCTGTGTCCTGAACTTTGGAATGATACACCTCAGTCAAATACGACTCATAATATTTTTTAATACGACTATTGTAAACTGGTCGAAACGAAAAACCTATAAGAAAATGATGGTTAACTACATTGTTCTGAGTGTTTTTATAACAACTGAGGTCTACAGATTTAACTCGAATATATTTCTTTAATTTTCGGCCACCTTGATTAATAATCTTTCGTCAGATTATAAATTTGCCTCTTTACGAATATTAGGAAGGTCAAACTTCTGACGCAGTTCGGACAATAAAAAAAATTGCGAGATTTACCATTGTCGAAAGAGAAAAAACACTAAACATTTGAAAATTTTATAATTTTTACATGTTATTGCACATGAAGGCACTATTTAATTTAAAAATCGAAAATAAATTGAAAAAAATACCGAAGACTCGGTAGCTCAATTGGTAGAGCAACAGAACGGAACGCTGAAGATGCCGGTTCAAGTATTGCCCGAGTCGAAAATTTTTTCAATTTATTTTAGATTTTTAAATAACACTAAACATTGAGTCATGGAGACAATTTCACATGCCAAAATCAACTCACGCTGATTCTAAATCATAGGTTAATTAAATTACTTCTTTAAAAAGCATCTTTTCTTACCAACTTATGATTCCAATTAGGACCCCGTAGGGGGCACGATCTTAATTGAAGGTCACTTCGATCTGATACCTATAGGTACTTAAAGTGCAGAATTATATTTGAGTTACATAGACATAAAATCACTATATTCAGAAATACCTTAATATAGGGATTGTGGACCTTGTAGTTCGTGGAATAAACGTGAAAGAGTATTGACAAACCGATGACAGCTTTATCCTTCGACGTATTTTCTACGAAGAGTGACATTCGGAACACCGGACCGAGTCCTTGTACCTGCGAGATGAAATAAATTGATTCTAATAAATTAAAAACCAACTTAATTATACACGTAAGCATTCGTTATTAAGGTCGTACAGCTCAAGTTAATTTGCATATTACGTTTTGGGTATGTACAAATATAAAATATGCAGTAACCATTTAAATATTTATTTCACATGTTACGCAAGTGTGTGCATGTATCAATAATTTGAAAACAATCGTCGATGACGTGTAGGACTAAACTAACTTAATCGGTTAGAGCAACAGCACGGAACTCTGAGGGTGAGGGACGATTATGCATTCTGAATTTATGTAGTAACCAGTATAAAATATGTTGAATGTCGACATTGTGACCAATTGCGATTTGCAATCGGGTTTTCTCAAGGGATATACACATGTATATAAGTAGTTCCGATTAGAGGGAAATAGAGTTAGAGGCACGGAACCCAGAAAATTATTAGTAATTTATTTTTCGTAGTATTGTCATACTTATGATCTACATAAATTAGATTTAACCGCAGTTCATAACGCCCTTTGTGTCTGAATGGTTTAGCGCTTATGCATTTAATAGTCCTGCGTTCCTAACTCGGGAAGACATTAAAGTTAGAGTTATTTTAATCTACAAGAGCACGGTGGGCGAAAATTGTAAACATTATTTTTACACAAATTCGACGAATTCATTTTCACCTGAGTTAATTGAGCATTTTTATTTTTCTCCTTGCTGAAAATCATATTTTTTGTTATTAGGAGACTCTGCCTCTAGCAGGCTCATATATTGTACAACATTATCTGGTTATTAAGAAAATAGTTAGTATGTATAGAAAAGTCACCTCAGCAGACAACCGAACGGGCTCCAGAACACCGAGACCCATCGCATTGTCACTCTTGCAGTAAGCTTCAAGCAGAGTCTTACTCGCCACAAGACGAAGTCTACTCAGCTCGTGCTGGAATGTCTCGTGCATCGCTAGAAAAGGAAAATATATATAAAAACGAATTAAATTATATGAATAGATACAAGGTAAAATAAATAGTTGCTATTAGAAAATATTAAGTTAATATATATATATATATATAAGATAGCTGTCTATCAAAAAACAGCAAGGTTTTGCTGAAAATCAGCGAAACCTTGCTGTACAACAATAGTACAACAATGTAAGTACAATATAATCTCTAAACTTAACTTAACTCTTATTCGACTTAAGTCTTTTTTTTGTGTCCAAAAAAGTTATAATTATTAAATATTGTTTAGACTAGCCCGTTAGGAATGTAATGGATAATGGGATACATTTTATAAAATGATGTTAGTAGATTATTAACATCGGTTCAGTAGCTTTAAAGCTTTAAGTAAATCACTTGTAACGAGTTAACGACTTACTTACACTACTTTAAGACATAAAATATATTTGTTAACATTATTTCATTAATTTTACCTTCGACTGCAAAGTATCCCAAGCATAGGATCGTAGTAACAAAAAAAGTTAAGTAAATACAACACTTTTACAAAAGTGTTGTATTTATATTTATGTCTGCAACTAGCGTAAATCACAGACAATAATTTAAATATATAAATATATATATAAAATAAAATAATAACTAACTTTAATAAAATTTACCAAAAAACACTTTGGACACAGAAACAAACACCCGTGACAATTTTTTACGTGAAAGGTACAAACCCTTTGCATTTTCCCTCTCCCGCAGAGATTGTTCCAGAAACAATTTCGACTTCTTCGGAATGTGCCAGGGCTTCAGCCCGATGGATATACTGTCACTTGTCTCGATACCAGCTGCGTGAGCATTGAAATTTGCCGTACGCTTCAATATCTTCAACATGAGGTTTCCACCTGGAAAAACTTGCAATTCAGAGTCTAATGGTAGCATTGTGTGGCTAATAATTAACCGGCCTTGGGTTCGATCTCTACCAGGCCCAATGTGTTCTAATCGATTTATAGTTTTTCTGAAATATGTTAGACTTCATCTGGATTTATATTAAATAGGTGGTAGAAACATTGAAACTTCGTCGAGATTACGAGCCATCCTCAACAAATGAAAAAGACGTAATTTTTAATAACGTTTCACACATTTCAGCCTGTGGATTTTCCAAAAACCAAAGCCAAAAAAGATCACCGCAAGAAGACCGCGTATTTTAAGAGCTGTCCCCGTCTATCGTAAAATAAGTTATTTTCTATTTAGAAAAAGGATATTTACGGAAATAATCTTAAAGCATAACAGAGTAAGAGTGGGATAGGTTACTCACTAGATGTAATGATAATTAGCACGTGCTCTTCACGGCCAAGCTGACCGAATTTTATAGATGACGCCACATCTGAAATATAATAAAGTATTTCATAATTAATTATAATGGAATATTTGCTCAAGTACTCAAATATTTTAATGACTTGAATTTATTAGTAATTCAGGTTTAGTTTAACGAATGCATTTACGTAACCCACTGATAAAATGTGCTTATAATATACTAGCTGTGCTCACGATTTCGTGCGCGTCCCGTCGTTCTTGCGTGCTAATCTTTAAAGTGACGCGGACATTTTTTTACATCATTTAAAGAATAAATATTCTCTTATATATATTTTATGGTTTCTTGAAACATTTGCGCAGCGCACTCAACGAAAGCCCTCAGCGATGTATTAGGAATAATTTTCCCCATTTTTCCACATTTCCCACTGTTTCCTTGGTCTTCTTGATTTCAACCCGATAGTTATAGTCTAGTAGTATAGTCTTTAACCTTCCACGATAAAGGTCCGACCAACACAATTTCTTATTTCGAACGACTAGTTCCTTATATTAGCGCGTTCAAACTCTACAGCTGTATAATTTTAGAATAGTTAAAAATGTATAGTTAAAAGTATACATTTGCTAATACATTTAAAGTTATTGCTCCAAATAGAGGAATAACGAAAACGTATTATTAATAAATACATATCAATAATAGAAAAAAGAATAACAGTTAGGAAAATCTATAAATAACTAAAATATTGACAGTAGATATCTGACTGTTAACCGATTGTTTCTTACCTCTTATGAACAATGTGTCCCTCTTAGCTTTTCCGTCGTACAAATGCACATGTCCGGAGTCCAAAGCCACCGCTATCAGTGTGATTCCAAGGTGGGTCACTGGAACTTGAGTCATGGACACTGGCCGATGATCCAATCTTAGCCACCATTGTTTCTTTCCCTGAAATGTTTCGGTGAAAGATATTTAAAGAAAACATATTGATTTAGTCTTGAGACTTGAGAGATGAGACAGAAAAGGCCAGAGGACCTAAACATCTCTGTAGATCCGAAGATAACATCTGTTTTGCTTATTTATTTAGATTTTATTTTTCATTTTATAATTTGCAGTGGACGACTTAATCTTTTCTATAATGATTGGCTAAAACGCGAAATATATCACGATAGCGCCATCTGTAGTAAATTTTACTTTGCGATTTAAAAATAGGCACACCCTAGTTACACTAGACACCCCGGGCCATAGTTGACATAAATTAAAAATAATTATTTAATATATTTCACGTTTAAAACTGTTAAAAGTGTTTTATTTAGATATTTACTACTCGCGTAGATAATACTTACTTTTAACGGTTTATAACTCAAAATAATGCGGCTTATAAACATCGGAAACGTAGAATAGTAGTAAAAAATATATATATATTGCGTTTTAAACTAGTTATTTCTTATAAATGAATGCACTAACCTTTTTACTAAAACAAGACAATGTTTTGTCGCAACATATCACCATGATACTGTTGTCAAAAGTCATAACCTCGATGGCCACTATGTGCTCCTCGGTTCTGAATAATTGCCGACCATCTTTCCAGTCCCGTTTCAGAAGACAAACCGATTTATTCCTGCACATTTTAAAGCTTCTAAATATATAGAATTTATTTGGTAAAGAACTTAAACGTGCTTAATTCTTCATAGAGAAATGCGCCTTTAGAAAAGCACATAGCAATACTGTGCGAAGTGTTTCAGCGTTACTTAAAACAAAACTATAATTATAAATTGGAGATGTATAGTTGTGTGCTTTTTTATAGTGAATTATCAATCATACTCTATTCTTTGTGCAAATCAAAACATATTTTTTCTAGTATATAGACCGCCTCTGTAGCTTGATGAATAAACGTCTTGCCTAGCATTGCGTTAAGCGCGACAGGTCCTGGTTTGAATCCCAGAGAAACAAAAGAATGTTTCGGTCGGGCAGGGCACAGAAGTCTGATCAATACTTGCCTGTAAATAAAAGCTATCAGTATAATACGGCCGACGTAATTTGGCAGCTCTGAACAGAGGTTAGACTAACTTTGGCGCATGTACACTCGTAAAGAAAACTAATACTGCCATTCATTTTCGTTACTGGGGTAAATCAAAAATTATACCTATAGCAAGCAAAAGTAACACACCAATAATTGATTCAAAGAGAATAAGTGCTAGAAATCTTTCACTAAAATACAGAGACAAAACAAAAATATAACAAAAGAGAAATAATAATATTATATTTAACAATAAACAATCACTTTTCTAACGGACTGCGCTCAAGACAGAGATAACGAAATTAACACCAAGGAGTGACCGAGACGCACTACTGTTTACCGAACATTACCGAATATGTACGAAGCTTTACGAAAGAACCAAATAGAGATGTCCATACGCGATCCGTCTGCAAATTGGCAGTGTCGTTTAATCGATTCCTATTAAAATTATGAAATTTGGATCGTAAAAATATAATTTTATAAAAAGCCTTAAAGAACTTAAGGCTTTTTATAAAATCCTCTTTAAAAATAAATAGTAATTATATAAATAATAACTCATATTTAACTAAATCAGGAAGTTCAATAATGAAAAGTTTTTAATGAATTTATTTTCCTTTAAAGGTAATCATGGTATTGTTAACAACACCATTCACTGTTCATCAATCCATTTAGTACAATCTCATACAATTCAAAATCCACAATCTAAATCGATTACAAAATTTGATAGAATAAGCGGTTGATTGTGTTGACATTGAGTCAATCACTAGCCTAGGTCTTCGTCCCGCGCCCCTCGCTCTTACCACCGCTAACATCCTAAAGAACGTTTCGCGCTTAGATCAGGCTTGCCAAGTTACATCGGCCGTATTGTAAAATAGACAAAAATGTGGTCCTAGTATATATGTCTTGTGCTGAACATTAAATATACTTTGCATATTGTGCTTGAACAAGTATTTTCTACCTTGTCGCTATAGTTATTCTGTATTCAGTATTGTATAAGCCAGTGGCAACTATCTGGTATGGTTGTGATTTCACTGTGTTTAAGTTTGCCTGTTTACAAGAATAGCATCAACAAATGATTCTTATCAGAAAACAAAACTAAAGATTTTGCAATCATACATGTATTTAAATAAAATACTTTAACGTGGTCACGGGGAGACCCGTCTCGAAGCATCCGAAACGTCGGGCCAAAGTTAAAAATCATTTTTAAATAAGTTTAACTAATATATCGCGTTTTAAACCGTTAAAGTGTTTTATTTAAACAATTCAATTAATAATAGGAAAATTCCCTCACCTTCAATAATTGTGTAAAAGTATGCGGGTCCAAAACAATGATATCACCATCTTCCGTCCCTACAACAAGACAGCTTACAGCCATTTTATCCAAAGCACTCATTTTTAATGTAGTTAAGCACACAAATTCTGTTGGAATTTCATTAGGAAGTTCAGCAGTTTCTAGAAAACTGAGCTTCTCTTCTATTGTCATAAGTAAAAAGGTCTTAGACTGATAACATAGGTCATTTGATAAGCTCTCTAGCTCTTCACAAAGTCTTGTTACTGATGTGTCATTATAATTTGTTGGATCTTTAAGCTGGAATGATAATCATTGTGATTATATTTTTAAATTATCATAATACTTCTAAAATTAACCTTCAGATAAAAATAACTTAGCAAGGGGCAAACCAATGCAACATAACCAAGACTACAGGGAATACAGAATTGGGAGAGCTGTATAGTTTTATCAAATACATTGGAAGTCAATTTGAAAAGTTACAAAAAAATTTATTTGGGTTCAAAGTCAGACGTTTATTTGAATAAAAATCCTTGTTTGCATGTAAGAGCTATTTATACATAGCTTACCTGTTTCCAAATTTCTATCTCACTTTCTTCTATTTTAATACTTGGTAATTGAAACCTATAGAAGACTTTAAAATTACGATAGATGTCAATTCGGGAATTGAATGCGACGGCTACCAACGGTGGAGGTTTAGGCTGTGTTTCACTAGCATAAAAGCTAACAACACTAAGTGGTACATCTGGGAGATTGATGTCTGAAATCAGCATAGCACCTTCAAAAATCTGAAATTAAGAAACACAGGACAGATGTGTTTAGCCACTGCGGCCTTATAATACCAAACATTACAAACCAGGCAGAGGATAGGTTGGTGTAAATAACATAATTGGGTTGCAGGTTATAAAAAGGAAGATCTTTTAGTAAATAAAATCACCTTTAACTTTGGTTCCTCGCTATTTCCCATATCTCCTACAAGAAGTTTGAATTCATTGTCATTGTTTAAATCTGCTATTCCTATATTGCTTGGTATCGTATCCAAACGTACATCATTCGTTCCTTCTTCTACATCCAACCATCTACTCATTCCTCCCATTTTAGGATACTATTTAATTTGACAATAAAAGATTATGAATTCTAATTTCTTATATTACGTTACTTTTGGTCTAGTTTAATCATGAGTGTTTGTATTTTACACCGCAAACGGTTGCCATGACAATATTGACTTTGACTTATGAATTGTTTGCAGTGACAATTGACAATCTCTAACATTATGTATTCGGTACTGTGTAAGGATGTAGATTTTAATAAAAAGAGAATGTTACTCTTTCGTTACATCGTTATTTCCGATTTTTTTCCTTTAACCCATAACCTGTGCTAATATTATTTTACTATTTATATCACAATTCTTTTGCGGATAATAGTTTCCCAATCATAATTTTTCTATCATCAGGCACGCAAAATCATAAAACGCGAATTCATTACTGTTCTATACATCGAAGCGTAAAGCAGGTTTCTGATTCAGAGGCTAAGCACTCTAGTATGATTAAATAAATAAGACGAGTCCGGCTTCGGTCTATAAATGAATCACCCGTTTTGTCGACTGATTATTAAAAAAAAATGAAAGCTACTTCAATGACATACTTATATACTATTTATCTGAATGTACTTATAACATCCACATGCAGCATCCGCTATTGATAGCATTATTAGTAAAATGCTATCAATACGTGTTTTAGTAAACAGTAGATTGTCACAATAGCGCAAAAAATGTAATGTATGGAACTTTTCCTAATTTATAAAATGTCGATAGCGCATCTTAATCAGATGCCATAGGGCTGGTGACTTTTCACCCTCCTTCAAGTGCGCCTTCTGCTTGCTTGCTTGTCTGAATTCCTCCGTCTTAAAAACCTTGTGTATCTGTAAAAGTTACTCCTCGATCTTTCTTTGTCCTGTCTTGGCTTGTCGGCCGTGGATTTTGTGAACTTGGGTTAACGACTCGAGGGAATTTCAAGTTCACCCTAAGAAAGAAGATCTCATAGACCCGTTATGCATCTAGAATATCAGGCCCTTTGGGGAAACTAGAAATTCCCTATAAAGTAATGAAAAAATTTGACGCGTACCTATAAGTTTCACATGAAGATGTATGAGGGAGACCATTTAGCTGAGCATACAAAACAAGAAACAATCAAGAAAGTTATCTATCTATAAAACTACAAGTACATAAATCATAGAAGATACAGAGAAGAGACAATAACAAAAATGAGTTCTGTTATTTATAGAAAATAAACAATTCCTCGCATCAAGTTAACGAACTGAATGAGTGTTTATCACTTCATCAACTCAGGTTAATGACCAAGTTATATGAAGCTGGACTGTACCGACGCTATACACTCTGTAGTTTGTACTTGAAATAAGAACATATGAAGATACTATAAGGGCGGTTAAGACCGTCGTACACTCAGTGTGTATTGAATGATTTTAGTTTTTCATCATTGATTTAGCCCTGGCTGTTTTATGTCTAGCGAATGCATAAGGCAATATTACCGTGGGAAGTATGGTAAATCACACTGCATCCTCCTAGGAACCTTTAGTCGACCAGAAACATTAAAAACACCGCCTTCGATGCTTTCTAGGGTGCCCTGGAAACGCGATAGCTTTCCTCACCTCTTATTTGCGTTGCCTAAATGGAATTGCTACTTAACAAGAAGACCGCCGAACAGCCTTATTTAAATATTATCGAATTTGTTTGGTTTTTATAAGGATACCTCGTCTTGGTGTGTTTCAATACATTGGATAATAATCAAACAATCATTTCAATACGTTAAATATATCCTCATTATGAAAATACAGTCTAAACATTTATTTTTATAATTCACCTACCTTTTTCCTCCAAGACACAATCTCGACATTGAGTTATACATTTTTAATTTGGTGAGGTAGTTGAGTAACAATAAATTCAAGATGTAAAAAGAAGCAGCAACCACTAAGATACTGTCTATAGTTTACGCGAGTATATATTTAAATAAAACACTTTAACGGTTTAAAACGGGATATATTATTTAAACTTATTTGAAGAATGATTTTTAACTTCGGCCCGACGTTTCGGATGATTTGCAGCAGCCGTGGTCACGGGGAGACTAAGATGTTAATAATTGTTGATAAAGATATTTATAGCTTAGCTTTCACACATTTTCTATATTTATCTTTATATCATTCAAGAAGTCCACACTTCAAATTTATTTCTAAAAGTTTTATTCCTTTTAAAACAACTTAAAATGGGGCAAAGGGGATCTTGGCCTGTTCCTAATCTTAAAGTAAGTGTATAATATTATGTCAAGTTCGGTTAAAAACGTAACCGTGAATAATAGTAAGACGCCTACGAGTAAAATATTCTGTGGTTGAACGAAAGTTTGTTGACTTGCTCTGGCCAATATAACGGTTATGAGTAATTTCTAAGTCTTTGCATGACTGAACCCGATTTTATGGGAAAAAAGAGATTAAGTAATAATAACTCGTGTATACCTAATTTTAATAAAAAGTAGATATTACAAGTATCTGCGAAACTATGAAATACGCAATATAACCTCCCGTGGCCACGGCTGTTACGAAGCCTCCAAAATATCGAGCCATAGTTAAATAAATCAAAGGTAAGTTATATATTTCGCGTTTAAGCGTGATTTCTCTGGATCCAAACCCATAAATACCACAGAGCTACGGAGGTCATTAAATTTTGAAATAGGATTTATAGTTTTATAAATTTCTTAAATACGACTTCAATAATTAACAAATCAAATTGCAACTCATCGCGGTTTCTTATTCCTCAATTAATATATTAAAGATAATTAATGTTTCATGACTTTCAGTAAATTTAAATCTTGCGTTTTACTTAGCCCACTGCTTGGCAGGTTTAGGCTGTCCACGTAGACAACGGATTTTAACAGCTTAGATACCGCCACCGTGCTCCTCCAGAGCGGGTGAAATAGAATAATGACCCAAGATTTAACACCGGGACCTCGTGGTCTGAAGTCGAGTGCTCTAACCATTACTTTAGACAATAGGCCGTTACTGTAATATCTTAAATGCTTTAAATTCACCACAAAGCCCTGGCAGTTTCTTATTCGACAGCCGTCACGTTACGTGTACGATTGCAAAATGATCCTAAACATTAACTTTCCTTGTATCTTGATTCCAACCACGTCAGCACGCGTGGCCGAATTGGCAATAATTACTTCTATCTAATCAATATCTGTAATTACAATACAGATAATATATAGGAAGTAAAGACACTTCTGAATTCTCTAATATCGCTTTTTTGTAAATGAAATAATAAAACAAACATGCCATTCCATTTCCAAAAAATGTACATTAATAATTAAAATCAACATCGCGTGGGTTTAATTAAATTCCAGTGATATTGATACAGTGCCGGAGAAAGTATTAATCATTATTAATTACTTATTCGTCTTTTTAATTGGTTACATAAGTTAAAAAACTTTAAATGAATGAGCTTTCAGGCTTTTAAATTCTTCTTACATAAGCGCAGTGTACGATCGCATTATCTGTAATGATTAAATATTATATTTTTAGTTTGTACAGATAGTGCGAAATATCTGTTGTAGAAAATATAGTTTATAATAAACAAATAAATAATTTATTTATTTGTGTATTTGGTTTTCGCAAGTGATACGCGTTAAATAAAACACTTTTTCACGGTTTAAAACGTGAAATACATAAGTGAGTTAAACTTTATTTACGACTGCCTTTAAACTATCGAACGTAATATCATCGTTAAATAATAAACTACTAATAAGCTGACTTAATCATGAGATGTATGGCTTATAGAATAAAAAAGAATTAAAAAAAATAGTGTACTAAAATATTTCGCGTTTAGAACCGCTTAAATGTGTTCTATTTAATCAAAATTAAAAAGTTGTTTTCCAATGCGATAGTTTTACGTAACTGACATAATCAATGAAATATTTTTGAGACTACTAAACGTTTAAATCTTACTATCTTATCACTTTGAACTGCATCAATGTTTCGGTTTAACTCTTAGTGAAATCATAGTAAAATCCTCAATGCCTTGCAAACTCGCTGTGTTTGAACTTCTAATTAGAATCCGTTTATGGGTCAAAGACGGCCATGTTTGCGTTTGTGAATAAGTGAAGATGTTTGCTTGACTATGAAATCAGAAGAATATTAAAATAAGACCAGAAAAATTTAATTAATTGCACCATTGTACTTCTACAAAAGACTTTATATAATATTAGTTTTTTTCAACTGTCGTGTTTGTTTAGTGGGTAGTACTCTATATTGAGATCACGAGGTCCAGAATTCGAATCTCGCTCCAACGAAATGTTAATTTAGTATTTAGTTTTTTATCAAGGATATTTCTGGAACCAGCTCGCTCACTGTGGTTATCACTTTGATGCGTTGTCGGTCCGAATTGTCATGTCTAATTTAGTGGGGGTAGTAGTTAAAACACAATTTAGGAGTGCGGATCTAAGCTCGGAGTGGGCCCAGCTATGGGACATTCTATGTATACGAACTATATTTGTAATGTTTTCAACATGTATAATGGCTAATACAACATTAATAACCTGTTTTCAAATACTGAGAAGGAGAACCGTTACGCATGAATCACCATATCTTCACCAACTAGTTTACATAAGGATCGTTAAGTAGATCTTTCGACATGTATAAGTAAAACCCAATTTTGCATCTGGGGTTTATGCCTACGTCAGGGTTGGAGGGGATACGAAATGAGACATTACATGACAAAGGTTTAGAGCAAGAACTAAATTAAGTGACGTCACAGTCATAGATACAAAAATATAGATTTTATTTAAAGAGCGGAGTCTCACAAACGCGACCAGCCATGGCGAAGTACTACTTTGCTACCTATTCATAATATTTATGATAAATGTCTACTTAATGTTCTAGGCTTATAAGACAAAGTATGAATTTAAATAAAACACTTTAACGGTTTAAATTGCGATATATTAGTTAGAGACACGGGGTCTCCCCGTGACCACGGCTGCTGCAAAGCATCCGAAACGTCGGGCCGAAGTTAAAAATCATTTTCAAATAAGT